TTCCTTAAGCATTTTTAAGAATTCTTGGTTTCCTTGTTCTCTACTTCTTTTATGTCCTTGCTCTGTTTGTGGTTGTTGTTGTGCTGGATTTTGAACTGTTGGTTGTTGTGCTGGTTTTGGTTGTTGTGCAGGGTTTTGAACTGTTGGTTGTGGTGCAGTGTTTTGAACTGTTGGTTGTTGTGCAGTGTTTTGAACTGTTGGTTGTTGTGTTGGTTGTTGTGTTGGTTTTGGTGCATGCCTGTGTCTGTGTCCATGTGACGATGTAAATGTTTTAGGTAGTCCTGGTGCAGGTGCTTCTCTTGGAGGGTTTGGTGGTATATAAGTTCCACCAGCTGGCACATATGTTCCATCTGCAGCATAATGTCCTACCTGACTTTTCGTTTTTAAGAAAGCATTTACTAGGTCTGTTTTGGTCTGTTGTAACTCTTTTTCTTGACTTTCCACAACAGTTGCTCTAACGGCGTCATAGGCACTTTGAACTGCCTGTCTCGTTGCTGCATCTGTTATTTTCGTCATATTTTGTGCTACTTCTCTTAACTCTTTGTCGAAACCTTCAGACTTCAGTTTCTTTCCAGATGAGAAGTCGTTCACTTGTTTCACCTTACTATGAAGAGCTTCGAAGGCGTTCTTAAAGTCAGCATTTGTTAAAGCTTCATTTGAACTGTCTTCATCCGCTTGTATTTTTGTCCTTATTGACCCTATAAGTTGGGCTGCTTTAGCGTTGGCTTGGGCATCTAACCAGTCATTGTTAGCTTTTATATATTCTGCGCTTTTCATTGCCTTTTGCATGGCTGCGTCGTTATTTTTACTTTCTTGTGCTAAGTTTTCATACTGTACGGTTTGGTTTTGCAACTGTAAAAGTTTTTCTGCCTTTACATTTGCTTCAACTTCTTTTTTATACTCATCGCTATCCATATATGTCTTCAGGGCTTTTTGTTTTATCTCTTCATCTTTCAGTACTTTATATTGAGTAGTATGGTTTTTCAAATTTATAACATCTTGTTCCATTTTTGCTACTTCTGCTGCTTTTTCTGACACTTTTTTCGCATATTCCTCTGTACTTAGTTCTTTCAGTTGTTCTTCTTTCTTCTTTTTCTCTACGTTTAACTCATTGAGTTTCTTTGTGTGTCTGTCATATTCTAGTTTCTTTTCGTTTTCACTTATTTGCTTCTGTATGTCTATGTTTGACTTTTTGACATCTGTTATTTGATTTTTGAGTGAACTCAAATTCATTTGACTTTGAGGGTTATAGCTGTTCCGTCTGCAGCTCCACCATAGCCTGCCATTTTCGCTAAAAGTGCCGCTCTTAAACCTCCACTCTGTGCACCAATAACTCGGTTTAAAAGCATAGGGTTGCTTGACATTTGTTGCAACATAGTGGGGTCATTCATCATTTGTTGTTGCAACTGTTGTTGTGGTGTCAGTTTTACTATTGGATGTTTCAATGCTCTCTTCCTCTTACGTATATTCTTACGTAGCTTACGTGGCATTTTAAGTGAAGTTAAAAAGCGGTTTTTGACAGATGTTTATATGACACTTTTTGTTCAGCACAAAAAACTACTCGGTCAAAGTGTTGTCAGTTTTGTAAAATAACCGTCCTATCTCATTCTATAAGGGAGAAAAGGCTTCTCAAAGTATACTTCCTTGGAACGCCTGTAACTTTTCCTGTAGCGACGATAGACCCTTACTTGTCCGGACAAAGTTATACTATTTTGAGTGCTCTACAAAAAAGTCAACGCGACGACTCTCAAAAACCGTTGTGTAAAAAGTTTTACCGTTGGACAAAAAAGTATATATAGAAAACAAAAAACGTTTATAGTTCATTCAATATTTGAGATGGAACGGTTTGCCAACGGAACTTTTAAAATAAAAAAATAGAGGGGGTTACCGTTGACGAAAACGGTTTATTTTAAACTTTTCTATGAGTAGTCCGAAAAAAACAGTTTATTTTTCATAATGTACGCGTCTCGAACAGTGAAGCCCAATTCAATAGAATACTATCTCGAAAAACAAGAAGCTGACACTGCTATTCAGTCTTTAATACAGAACCAAGCTCAGGAGAACTCAAAAGACTCCCAATTCAAATCGACATCCAATTCGAAGCAATTAAAACTTGACTCGAATGTTTTAAAACCACAGTCCGCACGAACAAATACAGCTCTAAGAATAGACCAAAGAATACCGAACAAAGAGTTGAGGTCAAGATTGAAATTACAATCGGATGAGTATTTTTCCCTTAACAACCAGGGAAATACTCCATATAACCGTATCTACACAAATACCGTTAAAGAAACAATAACGGCATACACAAAACTCTGTCAATTGGTCCCCAACCAGGACCAATTGACGGACATTATATGTTCCTACCTCCCCATATTTGCTGAGTGTGTGGAAGGTAGGACATTGTTACAAGCTTGCTTACGTATGCCACCAAATCTCCGTCAACAATTTGCTCAAATTGTACATGAATTTAAAGCTTTTAACAACGGATACGATGAAGATGAAGTAGCAGATGAATTTGGGGAAGAAAAAACATTTTTCCCCTCATATAATACGCCTGCAACAGTATTTCCTACTAATGAATTTCACAACTATTGTGTCGTTCATTTAATTGTTGTGGATATGCCCACAGGTGAAGACATTCTCAGTGGTGACTTCATCGAAGTCTGTATCAATACAGAATTGGGAGAAGATGAGTTGCACAAATTCTCCTACGTCGAACATATATTCAAACCAGCACACCAACTCTTTATCGAAACTGAAATAACACTCACACAAAATATGTCCATCTCATTTAAATCCAAATCAGGACGTCCATACAGAATTTGGATGAACTACGTCCTCTTCCACTACGCCGACGATGACGAAGAAGAGGAAGAAGAGGAGGAGGAAGAAGAAGAACAAGAAGACGATATCCAGTTCATTTCCATCCGTAAAAAACATTAAAGCAAACATTTCAGAATAAAAACTTCATTTATACTAAACATCTTCAGGGCTAGAGGGCACGAAGTGCCTGGAAGCCCCACTACCTTTTTTTTTTTTTTTCCACTACCTTTTTTTTTTTTTTTTTTTAAATAAAAACATTTAATCAAAGTCAATTTTATTTTTCATATTCAAATGGACTGAGTGTTAACATTTAACATTTTTTGCTAATTGTCGTCAAAAATTAGGCGTAAAGCAAAAATTGATATTTCATATGGTTTTATGATAGATAAGCATTATATTCCCACTCATTATATTCGTAAATTTTGAGGTTTATCCTTCGCTTTTCAGATCATTGAATTTGATTTTTATATAAAATAGTTATATATTAGAAAATAATATGAGTTTATGTGATATTATTTTTCAGAAGATTTCATTCTATATGCCTATGAAAAGTACTCTCAAAACTAACTTTTTCCTAATTATAATTAAATCTAGAATACTGTCTTATGCTTAGTATTATTTCATTTTTCTCATTCAATTTAGAATTTACAAATGTCAAAAAATTGAGAGCTGTCACTTTTGATGAATTTCTGTTTATTACAGATGGACATGATTTGCGCAATTTCTGACAATATTAAGAAGAATCCTGCAAATCACAGATTTTGCAGGAAGCCAGAACAAGACACCAAGGAACGTTTCTACTTTTGGATTACAAACTATCTTGATCCCAGCACTGAGTTGTTGACAAAACTCCCTAATATGCCAGGTTATAGTCCAAATGATTAGGAAAATTTTCCAATTTTCCAACAAAAATTTTCCAATTCTCCACCAAAAATTTTTTAATAAAATATTATTTTACGGCATTGCCCGTCACTTTTTTTCGGTACAAGGCTAATATCACGGTATAACCCCCCTGAAAAGACTTTAAACAATCATTTTCTTATCATGTGCTCATATCAAAGTTCCCTTAGCTATTCATTCAACTGCAAGTCTTTTAGTTCTTCAGCTGAATATGACCAACTTGCTGGTTCTTCCTTTTTATCTTCCGATTCTTTTTCAAATTCCTCATTTTATTCAAGCGATGATAATTCCGATGGATCTAATATCTCTTTAAGAGAGATGAGTCCATATACCTCTTACAATTCGGCTCATTATTTTCAATTTTCGAACAGCTCAATTTATGCAACATCAAATTATTTTAATGTCTAGGTATTAACATAATTTTGAGTAATATACTTGTTGTTTGTAATAAATTGTGTTTGTATTTTATAAATCTTCTTTTTCGTTCCTATTGAAAGTTGCATTTTCATAAGAATAGTCATATAGAACAACTTATATTTTTATCACTAGCGTCCATCTTGGACTGAGGCCTATAGATACGCATTTAACTCCAGATTTTCTCATAAAATTTGTAAAGTTGACCGTTTACATAAAATTCATTGCCAACGGCCAAAATTTTTATTCAATCATGAGTCCCCATATTCTCTGTATTGCTTAATTCATGTGGAAAGCTAACAGCAGACTCTTAAGTTTTAAGACCTCGAAATCTAATAAAATATCCACTTCATTTTTTTTATCAATATTATCTTACGGAATAGGAATTTGTGATGTAATATTATTTTTAATTTCGGACGCATATTTTAATTCTCCTTTGTCAAGTTCAATTTTATAATCATAATTCCAAAAATCACAATTATATTTCAGTAATTTTTATAATCTCATATTGTAATAAAGCTATTTCGTCCCAACATTGCTTAATCTGCAATAGAAAGTATAAATGGCAATTATCAGTTTTTGACAAAAATTTCTAACCTATCCTCTCATCAGTTAAATAATTTGTAAATCATATTGTATTGTTCCTGATAATCCAAAATTTGCTGATCGCAGTTTTTCAGATCTCACAATTTTCAAAAAAGCGGTCGTTATTTTTCAATCACAAAAAATTCGAAGTGCTCTCAAAAATTTTATAATAAAATTCACTCGAACATACTCACATAACAATGACCCATAATTTTTATGAGTAATGAAAATTTTTGCGATCATTATAATTTTTTTTTATTATTTTCAATAAATCAATGTTCCATTTTATTGTCAACCCTAGCAGTCGAAGTGGAAAAGGAAAAACTCTTTGGAATCTTATTGAGAGGCAGCTGAAAGAACATCACATCAACTACAAAGTTCATTTCACAAAATATGAATACCATGCGATTAAATTGGTCCAAGAAATTTGCCAAGAGAAAGGTGAGAAGACAATTGTTGCATTAGGTGGTGATGGAACTGTAAGCGAAGTTGTTAATGGCATTACAGACTTTGATAATGTTAAATTTGGCTACATTCCAACCGGATCTAGCAATGACTTTGCAAGAGGCTTAGGACTTCCTACCAGATTTAAGAAAGCTCTTGATTGCATACTCTTCTCTAATAAGACAAAGGAAATTGACGTAGGAACTCTAGATTTTGGAAACGATGAAACACAAAAGTTCGGCGTTTCATGCAGAATTGGTTTCGATGGAGCTGTTTGTGCAGAGGCATATAGCTCACCAATCAAAAACTTCTTAAATAGAATCCATATGGGTTTCCTCAATTATACAGTAATCGCATTCAAGAACATCTTCACTTATAAGGTAGCCAAATTGACAGTTACATATGACGATACTGATACACGCGTTTATGATCAATGCGTCATGTTATCTGCTTTGAATGGTCCATGTGAAGGAGGCGGTTTGAGACTTGCTCCACATGCTAATCCATTCGATCAATATCTTGATGTATTCGTTTTGAATACAAATAACAAGATCAAGATCCTTACATTCTTCCCATTAGCATATCTTGGTATCCATAGAGCTTTGGACTACTTTGATGAGGTAGATATTGTTAGATGCAAGAAGTTACACATCCATTCTGATGTTCCACTTCCTGTTCATAGAGATGGTGAATCTTGCAAGTATCGTACTGAAATGACTGTTTCTCTCCAACAGATGAAACTGAAAGTTTGCGTTCCAAATTAATTATACATGAAAACAAACAAAAATATTATAAAATGTTATTATATTTCTTACAAATCTTCAAATTTTTAATTATTTTAACTAAAAAACTGATTTAAAGAGGAAAATAAATATATTCCCTTTTCAATATTGAGTTTGGACCAAAAATGTACAATCGGACATTTAAATCTCGTAATAAAGATATTACAATTAAGAAATATCTTCTAGTTAGCGATATGTAGAAGATATGCTGCATGCAAATACATTGTAGCATATCTCCAAATGCATAATCGAAACATTGATCTGAAGGAAGTGTTCTTACACTTAAAATAAGATTATGATGAATTATTTTTAAAAATTATGTAATGCTTGCTTACAAATATTGAATTACATTGTTAGATCTTATTGAAAATCAGAGTTTTGGTCAAATAAAGAATAGTTTATATAAAAAATAAAACAAATTTAGTTCTGTGGAGTCTCTGGAGGTGGTGGCATATCCACTTTAGTTCCAAAGAGCTCAATATTATCAGTGTAATTAACAATTTCATAAGCAAATTTAACGGTAGGGAAAACGTAAACTGTAGCTTTGACAGGCATTCCCGATTCGAACATTCCGAGCAATGTAAGGATATTTTTGGCCGTTTCTTTGAAAGGTGTCAATGCTTCCAAGAATGGAGTGATTGCGGAAGGTTGAACAGGGAAATCTCTGCTGCACCAGAATTTTCCACTATATGTCTTTGAATGGACGATAGGCTCTTGGTCAGGTTTTCCAAAATTCTCTGAATAATAATACAAAAAGGTTATTTTTGCATTTGTTAAGTCGTATTGTGTAGCTGACCATCTATTTTCAATATTTACTGGAGGAAGATCTCTTCCAAATGTACCCTTTGAGCGATTAATTTGAAAAACTTCTGGATGTAGGGATCCTTTCAAAAGATCCATCTTCAAAAGATTGTCAACATCAATGTCTATCTCATCGCTGTTTTCAACTTCGCGAAGAAGGTTAACTCTCTCACCTGTATTGTTATCAATAATAATGAAAGAATCTCTGAGATCAGGAACATGTAGATCGATGTATAATGAGATGTCACCACGTGCCCAACGAGAACCAGTCCAATCCGCCGTGGTTGAATCAATTCTAACTTTTCCACCAACTTTATAAACAGTCCATACATCATTAGGACAAAAAGAAGTAACTAACGGCATCCAAGAATATACTTTCCATTTGAATTGGAATGACATATCTGGAATTTGGAAAATTCTATCGATTAATTCTGGTAATTTTGCAACGACGGTTCGCACATTGATTTTTCTATTAGCAATTATGATCTCTTTGAAGAAATCTTTGTCATTATTTAACTGCACATAGTCCATTGCGTTCAGACCACTTTCATCTGACCATCTTGGATCAGCACCTTCGTTAAGAAGCCTTCTGGCTTCATCGTAGTCTTTAGTTTTTATCGAGTTAATGAGTCTTTGACCAAGTTCACCAGCTAAATTTTCATCCATTATTTTTATTTTTTTATCTTATTTTTTTCTATCTTGTTTTTATAATTTTTTGCGTGTAAACATCTCAATCATCTCAATTTTTGAGAGTCAAACGCGATGAATATTAAATAAAGTTTTTACACCCAATGACTGAGTAATGATAATCTTGAAACATTCTACTATGATTATATTAGAAATTAGTTTTAACATGGATAAATGAGCGTCTTAAGAGGATATTGATTCATTAAGTCCTTTATTTAAATTTTATTTCATAAAATCTTTGAATCAATTATACTTCACAAGGAAATATCTATTACAATTAATCCACAATACTTAAAAATTTATGCCTTTTATGGTTAGTACATTATCAAATTCAAATTAACTATTACAAACTATAATAAGCATTTACATATATTCCAAACGTATCATTGACTTTTGGAAAGTTAGTGATTAAGTTCCAGATAGTCTATATACTGTAAATAAGAAATATATTTGAAGTAATTTCTTATTTTTGTAATGCGATGTTCTGAATTAATTCTTATAGAGAACAGGATCACAGATACATAGCTAATGATTCTGTTTCGATGATGTGGATTTGAAATTACATCAGAAAAAATTAACTATGAGTTATTCGGATTGGATAAGCATAGTGTATCATATTTTTTGCTTATCATTCATTTTATTTTTAAACTGATATGCCATCAATCAAAATTTGAGAAAGTTTGTTTACAAATTTATGGCACCTTCAATGAATGAAAACTTTGATTCTTTGACTCCAGATCAAATTGTTTCGGTCATTTATGGTATAAAATCAAAGAACAAACATCAAAGGGAGTATGCCATTAACAATTTCTCAAATATTTCGAAGAAACTTGGTTCAGATAGAACTATTCATGAATTAGTACCATATTACATCGAATCAACGACAGTTAATATCGAAGAAATTGCTGGAATCATCGATCAAATTGCAAAACTCGATTTTAAACAGTTGAAATCCGATGAAATCGAATTCTTATTAAATACAATCAAACAATACACAGAAATAGATTCCACAGATACAAGAAATTCATTTGCACAACTTATGTCCATTTTAGTTGATGTTTTAGATAATGACCAATTTGAAGCCATATTTTTGCCATATTTCCATAATCTACTTGAAGAAGATTATGCACCAATGAAGTTCACATTCTTTACTATCCTGAAATCCATTGCCGAAATCCTTACAGAAGATATGCTCGAAGAAATCTTCATTAAATACCAAGAATTAGGCGAAATACCAGTAGAAGTCCAAGTGCATATGATAGATGCATCATCCGAGATATTTAAATACGCAAATGAAAACACGAAAGACACAATTCTTCAATTGATCAGTGAATACATAGAATCAAAGGATCCACGAGTTGCATTAGCATTACTTACAATACTTCCTAATATTGATGCTTCAAAAGATCAAGCGAATTCTTACATAAAACAAATTATTCTTTTTGAAGACTTCAGAGTACAAACAAAGGCCATTGAAACGCTTACCAAGCTTCGTAAGATAAGTCCTGATGATATTGTTGACTATTTAAACTACTATTACCAGACGAAAAACAAAATTTTACTTGTTTCCATAGCAGATGCCCTTCCTTCATGCAAAGGATGCAGCGACAAGAGCATTAATACACTTAGAGACATGGTCGATGACTTTTTACAGTACGATTTCCCTCCAATTATCGTATCAACTTTGAAAGCACTTTATCCATTGATAGATGAGCTCGGAAACGAATATGTTCTTGATTCAATCACACAGTTCATTGCTAGTTCAACAGTAGACCTCCAATTGGCTGCTGTTTCAACAATTATTTATTCAGATTTCAGTGAAGACGAGAAAGGATCAATCATTGACGGTGTTCTTCAGAAGATCGATTGGCGAGGTCGATTTGCAATTGCAGAATCAGATTCTCTTTTGCGAGATAATAATACACTTCTGGAACGTCTTATTTTCGATGATTCATATCGTGTTCGAAACCGAGCCGCGAAAACATTTGGCAATCTTTCAAAAACGGAAGGCGAAACATACATCAACAAAGTTATCATTCCAACAATCTATAAATTGTCTGTTGATGAAGATTACCAGCACAGACAGACAGCAATTCAACTGTGTCTTGAGTTAGAACACAAATCAGTTGCGAAAGACATTCTTGAAAATCTTTCAACAGATCCAGTTAGTAATGTTAGAATTACAGTTATGAAAATCTCTCAATTGATGGGATTCGAAGATATTGTCATTAAACTTAAAGAAGATCCTGATGAAGATGTCCGAGATGCTGTTTAAAAATTTAATTTTTTATTATATATTTTTATAAAATTTGATAAAAAAATTGAGATTTTTTTTGTGAGTTCACTTACCAATTTCTGACTTTCTCTCAACTTTTTTTCTTACATCCATGTCTTTATTATCTGATTTCTAAGTTGAATAGTTATTATAAAACATTAAGGTCATCAAAAAGTTGTGCTTTTTTTAAAAACAATTGTATGAGAGGAAAATTGAGTACTTTCTGATCCAAATTTGATTCAATTGAGCCATTAGATTCATTTATATCTCATTATTCAACAGATAATTGTATTGCTGCAAAAAATCCTAATCATAAAAAACAATCAAATAGAGAAGGAATCATCTCATTTAAAAATTCAAGATTTAGACATCGAAGACATTGAGTATAACATGGATTATTCCGAAAAGAATTTAAGTCATAAAATTCCATATATTTCTAGTAAATGTTGATATTGTTTATTTAAAAAACTGTTATAATCGTCTCTTACTTCTTCCATTTTTTCCCATTTTTTCTCACTTATCCCGATTGAACCTAGTAATCGATCCATGATTAACATTCTAAAAAATTCGAGAAAAATTTTAAATAAAGTATGTTGTAATTGAACATTATGATGAGAAAAGATGTGAAATCAAAGTCAAATTATTTTGACCAAAATCAAATTTTCATTCATTTTTCACCCAGCCATAAGGATGACACATTTGAGAGTTTTACATGGTATTTGCCGGCAAATGCCATGCGAAGTTTTCTCAAATATTTTAGGGTAAATACACCGGCAACCCTTGGAAAATAATGGATTGAAGAGGTTCGTATGTATGATGCTCTTTAAAGATTCATTTCTTTGTTGTCAGTTTATAAACTGTTCAGGACAATGACGATGTTTTTTGTCATTTACCATTTCGGATGAATTAAATCAAATTTTATATGATAAGTATAATATTTATGCCATCAGATCAAATTTCAAAATTTCAGATGCAATTCAATTTTTGAGAATAAAATTTTAATTAATGACGACAATGTACCTACAATACAATATAAAACAAATTTATTTCAATTGTGTTTGATCATTTTTTTATGAGTTTTTATGGACCACCAAACTACACAGTTTATAATTCTACAAATGTTTGCTTATACTCAGTGCCAGAAGGATGGAGAACATTTAATGTACCACCGGAAGTTGAAATAATTCGTCCAAACGCTTTTTCGAAAGCATCAAACACATTATTGCGAGTTTTATTTGTTCAAAGTTCATTAACTAAGATCAGACATTCCGCATTTTGTAATTGTTCTCGTTTATTATGGCTTAATTTCTCACTATGCTCTAATTTAAGAGAGATTGGCAAAAATGCCTTTTATGGATGCAGTTCACTCTCATACTTAGTATTACCACTATCAATACAATCCGTTAAAGACTACGCTTTTTCACAATGTAAATCATTGACAACTTTATTCATCGATAACTCATCAGAATTGAACTACATTGGCAAACGAGCATTCGAAAATACAGCCATAACTACATTCTTCATAACAAACAATCTCAAATTCATCGGTGACAACGCATTTTATGATTCTAAGATGAAAAATTTCGAATTAAATAAATGGCATAAATATTACACTAATCATAGTGGAGCATTATATACAAAGGACCTAAAAACGCTCGTACATTATCCAAAAGAGCTAATCTCAGATCAATTTAATTTTACTAAAGAAACAGAGAACGTTCAACAGTTTGCTTTCATCAATATCAACAGTATTAACAAGATCAAGCTCTCTCCTTCAATAAAAGAACTGAAAAACGGAACATTCGCTAATTCTCACATCCAATCATTTGATTTTACATCTGCCATCAATTTAGAGTCAATTGGACCAAACTGTTTTTATAAAAACGATAGAATTCAAACAATAAATTTAGAATCCAATAATAAACTGAAAACAATAGGTGAATATTCATTTTATGGTTGTTCATCATTAAAACACGTAAAATTATCCACTTCTGTTGAAAAAATTTCAGATTTTTCATTTACCAACTGTATTTGTTTAGAAAATGTTGAATTTCCAAAGGAATGTGAGCTGCAACATATCGGAAAATGTAGTTTTAACAACACAAACATCTCAATTTTTTTACATTTCAAATAAAGTTTCAATAATTTGTGACGGATTCATAGATTACTGCAACAATCTACAACAATTCAATGTAAATAATGATAATCAGTACTTTACAAGTGAAAATGGAGTGTTATACACTAAAAATCACACAATTTTAATTAAATATCCTCCAAAATATGGAAAAGAATATTATGAACCACATAAAGATGTTATTGAACTACAAGAACATTGTTTCTATTTAGCAATTAATCTCATTGAAATAAATTTACCGGAAACTTTAGAAAAAATTGGAAATGGATGTTTTATGTCTTCCGGATTACAACTTATTGAGTTTCCAAACAGTTTAACAACAGTTGGAATTGCTGCTTTCATGAATTGCAGATCTTTGAAATTTGCTAACGTCAAAGGTAATATAATGGACATTTCATCATCATGTTTCAAGAATTGTAACTCTCTTAATGTTGTTTACATTGATAATTCAATTGTTTCACTTGGAAATAATTGTTTCGAAAATTGTAACTCAATTAAATGTATAACTGCACCATTTCACTTGAGATCTATCATCAAGAAGATGGGAATTGTTCCTGAAGCATTTAATCGAAAATGCATCATTCCAAAATCAAAATTTACGAAAGATGAACTTTAAAATTTATTTTTATACTATATCTTGTATTGTATTAATAAAAATCTAACGTTTAAAAATCAATTTCATATATTTATCATATATTTTTTTTTAAAAAATTATTTTTATTTTCATATTTTCCTTTTTAATTCCATTGGAAGGACATATAATGTGAACAAAAGTATATGTAAGCTTCATATTAACCAAAGTAGAGGATCATTATACATACCAAATAGTGAAATTTAATCATATCAACTAAACATTTTCTATTTTTTGGAGAAATAGCAAAGTTAGCAAGCTATATAACTTATTTAGATTAAACTCAAAGCTAAGTTTATATCTAAATTAGTGATTTTATGCTTCAAAAATGATTGAGATTTTTTTGGATGATTGTCACTTTTTAAAATCTTGACACTTTTCAGAGATTTTAAATTTGAGAACTTTATAATTTTTTTATATGAATGAAGATGAAATTAATTCAATTACGTTTGATCCTTTTACAAGATTCATTGGAGTATCAATGAAAGACTCAGTAGCGATATACTCTGTCGAACCATTAAAGAGAACATTCAAAAAAGACTTTTTAAACTTCAAAATTGGACATATAACGATTTCTCCAGATGGAAATACAGTAGTATTCACAGCAATTCCAACTACAGGCGATACACAACAACATAAAGTATACATTTATAGTACTTACTTCGATGAAGCTGAGAAACAACTAGATTTTGGCGAACCAATACTTAACATTGTTCTTCGAAAGAACCACATCTTAATTATCCTTGCTAATAGCATTTGCGCATACGATATTCGAAATAAAGTCATTTATTACGAACAAATTACATCTCCTAATATAGATGGAGCAGGAGATATATCACTAGATGATCAAAACCCTATAATAGCTGTATGTGGACTGATTCCAGGCTCTATTCGCGTTTCTTTTATGTCTGATGAATCTCCTGTTCTTTTCAACGCTCACGAGCATGCTATATCAATCATAAGGTTCTCAAATGATGCATCTCTACTAGCTACAGCAAGTTGCGAAGGAACAATTATTAGATTATTTGATTCGGCTACAGGATCTCCTCTCAAATCATTCAGAAGAGGAAATATTCCAGCCAAAATTCTTTCGGCTGCAATTTCTCCAGGAAATGGTTATTTATCGGTTTTTAGCTCAAATGGAACGGTTCATATATTCCAAGCAGATTCAAGAGTTGAAGATATTAATGATCCACCTAGAGCTGCTACTAAAATATCTATTGGAATTTGTAATAGTGCTGATCTTGAATTTAACTCAGATTCTCAACTGAGAATGGTTTCATCGACAGGATTTTTGTATGAGATAGATCCAAAGAAAGGAATTATTACTTCAAAAACTTTCATTCTTTCTCATTAATTGTACAAAATTATATTTTTTTAATTATGACCAATATTTTTAGCTTACTTGCTTAATCTCATGAAAATTATCTATTATGTAAAGTTTGTTTTTATTTTGTTCTGTTTAATTTGATTTTTTTTGATATTTCTTGAGATAAATATGAATTTGTTCTTAACCAACTCATTTATATCTTTAACATGAAAGAATTATTATCATTTAATGCATAATTAATGGAAATTAATGAAGTTTCGAAGAAAATGATTTATTTTTTTCAAAAAATCATGTAGTTGGACTCTCAAAATATGAAAATTAAATACCAAGTTGATTAAATATGGATATTTTATGTAAAAGAAGACAAAATAATTTTCACAGTAATTATTTTATCAATTTTTTAAAGATGTTTAACTATTGCATGGAATCGTTTTCCGAAAAGCATCGAGATTATTCTGAAATATTGAAATAAATAAAAATTTTTCAATGTCGGATTTGAAAGTTGGTCAAAGAAATTTCATATATAAATGTCAATATTATCAAGAATTTATAATAATCACATAATTATCAACGTTTTTCATTTCAATTTTTATGAATTATCGAAACTTTTGAATAATATCTCAATCAAAAACATTAGTTATTGATCTATTCATTCTAATGAAATTAATTTTTATGCAAGTTTACGTTCTTTGAAAAAAATTAAAATTCCATTAAATCTCTTCAAATGAGTAATTATATAATTAAATTTAAAAAAAGTTGCCTTTGAAATTTTGAATCATATAAATTAATGCTCAATTTCTTACTTTTTTTATCTTATTCTAACAAATTTTCCTACAATTTCGCAAATACAGAGTATACATTACAAATGAATTACGATGGAAAACGAATTCATCATGGTCTAAGGACAACTTGGAATATTCAAGGACAAAATAGAAGAACTCTATCACCGGCTGCAAATGGTTCTGACTTTTATTAAGGAATTATTCTCGATACTAACGTTATTTTGCCAGAAAATGAAGACAAAACAATTTTAGATTATACTTTTCAGAATAATGGCACAACAGCTAAGAAAATTGAATTATATTTTAGAACTCGTCTTTACTTTGGCAATGAAGGTAAGCTTCAAATCGAACCTTTTGGAGATTATCAAGGATATCGTTATTTTAATCCTAATACAAATGAAGAAATGTATCTGATTTCAAGAGGTGGAGAATACGCAAGTGCTTATTCAAACTATCATAGCGACGATTATTATAATTATGAATATTATACAAATATGGATCCAAGAATTCATACTCGAAATAATTGGCTTTTAATATACTGGAAAGACAAACTAGTAGATGTTGATGAAGTTGTTCACTTATATGTCACTTTTACTCCAAATCCCCAAATTAAACAATCTCCAAAAGTAATAATGAACACACAATTAGAAGAAAACTATCCAACTAAGCATAATTTATTACTTGAAGGTCGATGCGAAGGATATGAAAATGACCAATCAATTGTTTTATATTATCAATATAATTGGGGAAAAATTGTCAAACTAAATGAATTCAATATAACGGATGAATTGAAGTCTATTGATTTTTCATTTGATTTAATATTAGAATCATATAGAGCTGCAAGGATTATCAATGTATGGGCAGTCACAAAAGATGCTGCCATGACAAATTATTATTCAAAGTATATATATACAGGAAGAAAACCAGTTTTATACATTATAACTCCCCCAAAGAAATTGTATTATAAGGACAATACAATTTACGTTGATTTTGCAGGAAACTGTGATTAAGTTCTAACTTGTATTATAACATCGATAACAAATATTCTTCATCAATCAAATCTTTTAATGATGGTTTCAAAAACCTGACATATTTTGCATATTTTCAACGATGGGATATTGGTGTTGGAAAGCATAATATTACTTTATACCTTAAAGATGACTATCACTATTCAGAATCATTCTACTACGAATTTGATGTTATAAATAAACCACGGCCTAGATATTCATTATTAAATGGATTTCAGACAAATGAACGAAGTTACTATTTCTATCAGAATCAAACAGTCCCAATAAGCATGAAAGGTGGAACAGTTGGCGAAAATATAACATTATGGTTCAGAAAGAGTGAACGAGATGTTTTTACCCCTGTTTACACTTTTACTTATAATGGAACAGATGGAATTTATTATCATAATTTCAAACTTCCTTACGTTGCTGCTTATTACAAACACTTTTGGATAATAACAAATGATGATGAAGTAAATTCAGATATTACATATACGTATTCAAATGTCAAAAAAGAGTTAAGAATCTCAATTACAACACCAATCCAACCTTATTATTCTCCAAATACTACTGTTAATCTTGAAGGATTTGCCTTTAATTTTGATCCAGGTCATTTGGTTCAAATTAAATCTAGGTTAAATGACGGCCAAATTATACTTACAAATCAAAATGAAATAATAATGGATGATAACTACAAATCAAATGATTTTATTTTTAATATCACATTACCAGAATTATGTGGCAATTACCTTTATCGATTTTATATCTATGACTTAAACACAAGTAAAGGCGGATATACCTATGAGATTTATTTCAAAGTTTCATTACCTGGTGCAATATATGATGTTACTAATTTAGAAGATACATACTCAATTAATGCATTCATAGAAGTTACTTTTACTGGATTCCAATATGTTCGCGGGTACTTATATTTCCAATATGATAATGGGACAATAAATAAACTTGATGAAATCATCAATTTTAACGGGAACAATGTTACAGTTACAAAACAAGTCCCTACAAAAGATTACAAGCTTAATATTGAAGAGCACAACGTTACATTCTTTGTATATAGGGTGTCCAAAGGTGTGTTTAGCACAAACCTGAATACTGCGAATAGAAATAAACAAGTTACATATATATAAAGTTTATTTAAATATAATAACCATTGGATTCAATCACGCGTTCGCAGCGATCGATCCAGGCTTGAAAGACACGCTTTAAATCATCATGAGAAAATTGCTCAAATTGCTCTCTTACAAAATTTTCAAGATCATCTGGACTCGCGAATTCGCGTCCTTCAGCTCTCTTTTTTAGCGTGCCGAATAAATAAAAGTCAGAGGGTGCAATATCAGGTGAATAAATTGGGTTTGGAACAACTTTGACATTGTTTTCCACCAAGTAATTCATTACCTTATGACTTTTGTGAACTCTTGAATTATCAAAATGAATTGCAAACTTTTGTTTTTGTTGTTTGGATTTCTCAAACTCATCAGAATTGATAATTTGAGTAAGAACATTGTCAATTAGATACTGAGCATTCATCGTATTAGGTTTTTGAAGAATATCAATTGCGATGATGTCATTCACGCCCCAAAAAACCGACAACATCATCATTGGTGTGTCAATTTTTTTCTTCGGGAATGTTTGCGGATTTTCATCCTTCGGGATCCACATGATTTTGGCTTCTGTTGCATATTGAAACCAAGACTCGTCCCCTGTTACTAAAAAGCGAAACTTCTTGGATTGATACGCACCCAATATAGAGAGGAGCTCTTTCGAAGATTGGACTCTAGATTTTTTTTGAACTGAATTAAGGTTGTGCGGAACCCAACGTGTATACGCTAGTTTGTAGTTCAAATAATTGTGCAGATAATAAGTGACTGTTGTATGTGGTATCTTTGTCATCTCCTCTATCCTTCTGAGTGATGCTCTTGGGTCTTCATCTAGCGCTTGAAGAATTGCTTTGATTTTTCTTTGATCCGGCGATTTTTTGTCAATTTTTATGATGGGCGCCTTTTTGTTCATGAAGTGATACATCCTAACATGATACGTTACAGTGGAATAGCTAGGAGCATCCATACCGAAGCATTTTACCAATGTCTCGTAGATTTTTTACAGTCTTTGCATTTTTTTTGCAAGAGCGAGGATGTTTTCTTTATGATTCATTAAAAAAATGAAAAAAATCCCGCCAAAATTTCCTGCGAAACCGCCTCTTGTCTCAAAATTCATTTTATATCCCGGCATGGCGCCAAAATACAACTTACTCATCATATACATATATTCATATTTTTTATTATATATTTATAATCAGCATATATCTCCTTTAATAGTCTCATATAGAGCGCTGTGCTAAACGCACCTTTGGACACCCTATATGATGAATTTGGCTGTCCATCTGAAAATTCTTATACTCATGTTTTCAATTATGATGACAGAAATGTACCATTCCTTTATTTATGGTATTCTTCTGTTGAAAATCCAATGAGATATTCGGATACTTTTAATAATGAATATAAATATGGTGACAAAGATAAAAATCAAAAAGTAAATATTACTCGAAAGTTTAAGAGCACCAGAAATACAAGTAGTTAAAGCTAATCAAAACAAACAAATTTATGATTACCATGAAAATGCGAAACTCATTCTCAAAATGAGAGATAGAAATTATGGTGATGAAGTTCAAATATTCATGAAAGTTAACGGTGGAGAATTCACAAACATCATCAATTATACATCTCGAGGAACATTTGAAGACATTCCATATGATTTTGAATATGCGCATGTCAATAGTAAATATGATCTAGTATTCAAAGCGATCGATAACACAGATTCGGCATCTCCTGAAGTGAGTATTAGTTTTGAGGTAAAGCAAACACCAGTTACAATTGTTACCAATACTCTCGAAGAAATGTATGTACCAGGAACAAAAGTCAACATCACTTGTTTTGCTGGTGATTTCAATCCTGGAAGCATCATTCAATTTTATTACAGAATTAATGGTGCAAATACAGTTTATTTTCATGATACTTTTGAAATATCAGAAGATTTCAGAACTGCAGAATATACATTTACAATCAAATTACCAGATTATGCAAATAGAAATACAATTTATGTTTATTCGAAAGATCAAAATAATAAAGCAACTCATTACGCAGCTGTTTACACAACAACAAATAGAGATCCAAAGATCATTAGTATTAATGAATTGAAACCAGAATATACAAGCAATGAATATATCGATATTGATGGAATCTTTGATGATAGTCGTGTAAAATTATATTATCAATATGATAAGCGAGCGGTTCAATATCTTAGGGACTGGATTGATTGTACAGGGGCAGATCTGCAGATTCACAAACAGATTCCAGTACCAAAAGAAAGTTTTAGAGGCGGTGAGCACACTGTAACTATATATTTGATTGATCAGTATGATATCAAGTCAAACGATGTTTCATTTAGATTTATTTACAATGATAGACATGCACCAGAGCTCGGTGTCAAACTATTAAGTGGTTCAAAATCATATGGCTTTTATGATACAATCAAGTTTAACTGCAGTGTTATTGATCCAGATGTCGGAAACACAATTACACTTCGTGTTAAAATCAACAATAGTGATGAACAAACAATTTATGATTATACATCAGATGGCGAAACATCTCATTATTTATATGATTTTGCAGTTCCAAATGTCAATGGTGTTGTTAATTTTGTATTCAGAGCAGAAGATAACTTTGGTTCATTTTCAAATGAGCAATCATTCGATATTAAAGTGAAACAGACTCCAAGTGTTATCATCACAAGTGGTATCTCTAGTTACTACAATGGTGGCGAAGAAGTTGAAATCAGTGGATTTGTTGTTGATTACGATCCAGGACAGGAAGTTCAAGTATTATACAGTATCAGTAGAGGAAACTCAGTTTTCGCAACACCTCTCATGATAATGAATGATAACTATGTAACAAATCAATTCGAGTTCGTCATCAGTCTTCCAACAAAAGTTGGAACACACTCTGTCACATTCTGGGCAGAGAATAGTAATGGTATCAAGAGTGAGTACTCTCGACAGTTCTTCACAGTGAATGTCAATCCGAAGATCATTACATGGAACGAAATTCGTCCAACATATGCAAAGAACGGATTTATAGATTTTGACTCAGTGATCTTTGATGATTCTACATCAATGATACATTACTACTTCGACACGATGTCTATTAACTCAATTAATGAGTGAATCAATGCAGGTGGCAAGAATCTAAGTATCAGAAGACAGATTCCAATTCCAAATGACTTGTCAATTGGCAGCCACACAATCACAGTCTATCTTCGAGATTGGTATGGTGCCGAGTCAGAGAAAGTTACAAAGAATTTCAGATTCACAAACAGTTATGTTCCAACATTGAAAGTGTCTCTCACTGAAAATCGAAATACATATGGATTTCATGAGACTGTCACATTCAACGGATCTGTTCATGATTTAGATGCTCAAGATAAAACTTATGTCTTTGTTGAGATCGACAATGATGAAGAAACACAAGTTGCAGAGTTTGACTCAAATAATGAAGTTCACAACTTCACATATACAATTCAACTCCGAGCTGTTGATGGTGATCACACTGTTATATTCAAAGCACGCGATGAGAGTGGTTCATCATCAGGTGATCAGAAATTCACAATATCAATTAAACAGTCACCATCTATCATCATAACATCAGAGCTTTCACCAATGTATCTCCCGAATGAAACAATATCAATCAGTGGATACATTGTAGATTTCAATGTTGGCGACGAAGTCCAACTCTATTTCCGTGTCAATAACGACATCACAGAGTATGCAACTCTTCCAATGATTGTTGGCGAAAATTTCAAGACAGACATATTCACATTCAATACGACACTTCCTATTGAAGTTCGAAGGAACCAAATCATCATCTGGGCATCATCTAACAGTAGTATGACAAGCAGAACTAGTTACATCAATATCATCACAAACAGAGCACCAGTACTGGATATGTGGAAACCAATCAAAGGAAATTACTCAATGAGCGAATACATTGACATCGACTGCAACATCACAGATGATTCAAACTGCAGAATTTATTACTCATTCGATGACAAGAAAGCAAAATACATTGATGAGATGCTTCCAATAAGGAGTCCTATGTTCCCAGTTATCAAACGTGTTCCAATTGATGGCAATGATCTTGCATTTGGAACACATACAATGGAAGTATGGATTGTTGATGAGTTTGGTGTTAAGTCAAACGAAATCTCACAAAATTTCGAATTCCGAAATATGCATGCACCAGAAATTGTTCTTAATCCTCTTCCAAAGAGAGGTCCATACAACTATCACGAGAAAGTCACATTTAGTGGAAGTGTTCGCGATCTTGATAGTGGTGACCATGTCATTGTTATTTTCAAAGTCGGCAGCAGCGAACCAACAGAATTGTATGACTCTATCTCGGATGGTCAGTGGCATGACTTCAGTTACACGATCAATGTTCCTCGTGGTGATGCAGAGTACACAATCTTCGTTGCAGCAATGGACCAGACACTTTCTAAGTCTAACGAGGCTACACTTTCATTCAAAGCACAGCGTGCACCAGCAGTCAAGATGTTGAATGAGATGCGTCAAGCATATGGTGCAAGTGAAACAATGGTTTTGTCATCAATGCTTATGGACTTCAACGAAAACAGCACAATCTCATTCTGTTACAGCATTGATGGTGAAGATAAGAACTTCATCTCATATGTTGAAATATACGACAACATGACATCAGGTATTGTTAATTACAACATTACACTTCCAAATTCTAAGAATGATCACTACTTGATTCTATGGGGTGAGAACGAACTAGGGCATGTTTTATGTCCTTATAATGAGATATACATCATTGTCAGTCAAGCACCAGAACTCAACATTACGAACACACTCCTTGGTACATACTACAGCCATGCATTCATCGAGGTTGATGTCAGTGTATATGATGACACTGAAGGATATGTTTACTGCAAGATTGATGATGGTAAGGAATTCAAAATCTCAAAACTTATCCAGAGTTTCTACGAGATTGAAGAACGAGTTCTTCAAGTCGAAATCAAAGAAGGAACTCTCTCAGAAGGTAGCCATTCATTGAGCATCTTCATGAGAGATGAGTTCGGAAGTGACTCAGTAGCTGTTGTTCATAATTTTGAGTATTCACTTTCTAAGCAAACACCAGAATTATCAGTTGAAAGTAAAGTTAAAGGATACACATATGGATATTTCGAAAGTATTAAAATCAAATGCAAGGCTAAATCATTTAACGAAGGTGACAAGATTTCTCTGAAGATCAAATTGAATTATGATGATTATTTCACAATCCATGAGTTTTCATCAGATTCAACTAGATATATTTTGAGTAATGATGATGAATCGAGTGATGGAATACTTGTTTATGAATATGATCTTAAGATTCCTCCGTCGGATGGTTTCTATACAGCTTCGATCAAAGCTGTCAATCAAGATGGAATAGAATCTAAGATCACATTTGTTGACTTCGAAGTCAGAAGACTACCTGGAATCGAATTCACACAACCATTCCGCGTAAACTACAATAGTGACGAAACAATTGTTGTTAGTGGACATGTTGTTGATTACGATATTGGACAGGAGTTTGATGTCTTCTACAATGTTGACAATGGAAACAAGATATTTGTTGATAGAGTCAAAATTGATGGTGAATATAAGTCGAAAGAATTCAGCTTTACAATTAATCCATCACCAGATGTCAACATTCACTCTTCGAAAGTTTGGCTTGAAATAAACAACAAAGTCATATATCAAACAAATGGAAACTTCCTTGTAAACTCTCCTCCTCAGATATCTTTGCTTAACAGCACACAACTCCGTAATGTATATTATGATGGAGACCATATCAACTTGGACTATAAGATCAAAGACAACACACAAGCAGTTGTTTGTTACAAGTTCGACAGTCGTCCAGAAACATGCTTCAAAGATACAGTTTACTCATACGAGCGTGAATACAATTACAGGAAGCAAATTTTAGTTGATCAGACAGTTCTTTCACATGATGAACACACAATCACTATTTATGCACGTGATGAATTCAAGATGGAGTCAGAAATCATCACACACCGTTTCACACTTAGTGAAGGAAGTTCACCAGACATCACAATTGATGGCTTTGCAAGACAATACGAGTACAACTTCTACGAGAGCATTTATATCAAGGGCAGTGTTATTGACACATCACCAACAGAAGGTGGCAAAGTTACAGTGTATTGCAGATTCAATTTCAGTGATCCAATTCCTTTGCACGAGTTCGAAAGTTATGGTCACTCACATAATTTCGAATCATATGTTCCTGTTCCAAGGAATAACTCTAAGTATTTCATTGTTGTTTATGCAGTTGACAACATGGGATCACACTCTCGCGATTTCAGACATGATTTCAAAGTTCAACACAAACCTTGCATCAAACTGCACAACTCCATCGAACACTCATACATGCCAGGTGACAATGTTACAATTGAAGGCTTCGCTGGTGATTTCACACCAGGAATGTCTCTTAACATATTCTACCAGCTAAAAGGAAAAACACCAGAGCGTATTGGAACATTTGAAGTCAATTCTAATCTGACAACAAATGTTTTCTCATTCACAATCCAAGTTCCAGACGAAGTTACTCCTCAATCTCTTAAGATCTGGGCAGAAGATAGAGGACAAGTCGTTGCCACTCTCGACAAAGGATACAGTGTCATTAACCTTCGACCGATGTTGAAGATCACAAACAAAGTCAACCAGCGATATTACAACCGAGGCTTCATTGATATTGAATTCCGTGTTTGGGACAACACTCGTGTTAGGCTATGGTACTGCATTGACGGTGGTCGTGAAATCAACATCACAGACTACATTGAATGTAACGGTGAATGGAAAGAAGACTTTGCACAAATCGAACTTCCAGCAGGTTTCTATGAATTTGGTTCACACAAACTGTATATCTTCGTTCGAGATGAATTTGGCGCAGAGTCAGCAGACACTCCATACGACTTTTCCTCATCGATCAGAATGCACCAGATATGGAATCCTTAGTGTCGAACTAAGGAAGAATACGAATATAACGATATAGTTCTTCTTCAAGGTCGTGTTCGAGATATCGATCCAGGTGAAGATCTCAGTCAGTCTTCAACTTAACAGACAAGGATACAAAGAAATATTCAGCACAATTTCAACAGGTGACTGGCAGTATTTCAACTATTCATTCTCAGTTCCTAAGAACGATGGTCTTCATATCGTTACATTCCAAGCACGAGACAATATGTCAGCAGCATCACGTGCATCTTGTTACAAGATCAAAGTTCGACGTCCTCGAGGAATCTCTATGCGAAAACAACTACCTAGTTATGCTGAACCATCACTACCGATAGAGATCGGAGGTTATGTTGTGCCTTCGACTTTCAAGCCAGAAATTACTAAAGTTCGAGTCATGGGACGATTCGGGAACTCAGGTACAAGGTTCTATATCGATGTATTCACAATTCATAATTCGATGTCAGCAACAGATTTCAATTTCAATTTCACAGTTCCTCGAGATGCGAAGAGTGGCATTGTCGAAATTATATTCGACGATGACAACAATGATACAGATGTCTTAGAGAATTTCACACAGAATATTATCATCAATGAGCGTCCTAATCTTAAGATTCTGAAAGATATTGGTGAACGATTTCCAGCGCATGCATTCATAGACATTGACTCAGAAATCAGAGATGATACTAAAGCAAATATTCGATATAAGATTGATGATGGTGTAGAGATGAATGCAACTGATTTTATTGAATGTCTTGGAAATGATAAGCGTGTTCGTACACAGATAGAGATCAAACCAGGTTCACTTCAATTTAGAAAGCATACAATCACAATATATGCAGTTGATGAATATGGATTGACATCAAATTCTACTACCTACAGTTTCTATTATTACAATAGTAACACACCAGAACTTACTGTGACAAACATCGAAGAAATCTCAGATCACACATTCAAGATCACAGATAAAATCACAATCTCTGGTATTGTTGATGATGCAGATATTGAAGACAATCTTCGTGTTCGAATGAGATTCGATTTTGAAAAATTTGATATCATCCATACTTGTTCATCTTCAGATCGTGATCAATGCAAGAAATTCAATTACACATTCAACGTTCCTCGATCGACAGGAAACCATGAAATCATCTTACAAGCACTTGATGATAGAGATTTTGTATCCAAAGATGTCAAGATTAACTTCAAAGTTGAGAAGCATTTTGTTTCCCCTGCAAGAACTCCTGCAAGTTTCCCAGTCTTTCCAAAAATACCTACAGGATACACAGGAAGAACGACTTACACAACAGCAATCACAGCAGTAGAGACATTCATAACAGATATCAATGGTGACATATTCGTCACATACACTGACATCATCACAACATATGAAATCACAGTTATCGATCCAACGACTGAACAAGTTGAAATTGGCTTCTTACAAACCACTTTTGGAAAGTACATTCTTTGGCCAATCATCGCTTGCATTGTCATCATTGCTGTTGTTATCATTATTGTTCTGGTCATATTGAAAAAGAATCAAAATGACGAAAGTTCAACTGATCTCGCAGGAAACAACGAAGAACAGTTTGAAATGGAACAAGAAACAATTATCATTAGCAAGACAGAAGAGAGCATGGTAACAACCGACAATCCTCTTTTCACAACACAAAACAGTGCTGCAGCAGATGATCCATTCCATGAAGATTTCGAAGACAAAGGTGGTCTTTTCTCCGATTCAGACAATGATGTTGTAGATGCTAATATTGATCAAAGTGACAGTGACATTGTTGATGATGGCGAAGAAATCAAAACTATTCAATTATAATTATTTTTATCATGGGTATAAAGATATATTTTTATATTTGGCAGACTGTTCTATAAATTCAAAGATAATATAAAATATTTTTCATTAAGCTCTAAAATTTTAAGTAATTTTGATTTTCATGATGTTAGAAATGTAATTACGGAAGATCCTTGAAGATTTGGAATATAATATTTTGGAACGATTTTAAATTTTTATTTTACTGCTGATAAATGACGATGAATGTGGGTGTTTAATCTACTGGAGGAATAAATTAGTATTAAATTAACTTCAGCAAAAGGTTTCTTTTGTAATTTTTTTTGTCATTGTAAATCTTTGAAAAATAGCTCTCACAAAAAATTCAGAATGTGTATTCAATTGGATTCGATTATAATAAAATTTCTTCCTTTTTGTCTGAAAAACATACATAAAACTTTGATTGGATCAAAATTCAATTTTAAAATTTTGAAAATCTTATCGAAATTGAAAGCTATTCAAAAAATAAAGTTAAACAGTGTTTTTTATTGGCTAGATGGATTTATGTTTTTTTTTAATAAAATTTTGAATGGGTAACTCTGAATTTTATTTTAGAATTCTAAAATGATTTTGACCTTCTATCTTTCTTTACAAATGTTAGTGCATCAATCTGAAATTCCAGGAGATGTGTGGCAAATATATGGCACAGAGAATCAAGGAGATTATGTCAAACTTGATAATCCGACAGTTAATCTAAATTCAAACAAAGAATGTTTTGTATACAATTGCAAATTTATTTCATTTACAACACAGCATCCAATTGATTTTAATTCGGTCACAGATGCTAAGTTTATGCATTCAAATTGTTTATTTAACACTTGTAATAGTGCAACAAATGGTGGAGCCGTACAATTTGTTGGAGATGGCTCATCAGAAATCATTCAACGAAGATTTTGCGCATTAAGTTGTAAATTGACGACCGCAAGTACTTCTGGACATTTTTCATATACTACAGCTGCTGCATCGTCTAATTATATGAATTATATCATTGAATCCTCAATATACGGATCCAGAGCCCTTCAACAAGGATATGGTGTATTTTCGATAAATAACGGCTTGGCTTTGGTATCTTCTACAAATATGACAGGACTCTCAGCAAATACACAATCTACAGTATTGTTTAAGTCAGTAAGTTCTCAATCGAAGCTAAATTTTTCCAATATTTATTCTGTAATTTCAGCACATCAAGCCTTAACATTCAATACAGCTACAGGAACTGTTCAAAATTCTAATTTTGTTAAAATGAATCAAAATACTGCTAATGTTGGACTGATTTATTTGTATCAGAGTCAAAATGTTCTTTTTGATGGTTGCATATTTGATCAAAATGATCAAAATCATTACTTATTTTCAGTCTTCAAATATACACTTACAGTCGTTAATTCTTACATCGAATCAAGAGTTTATATGTCATCTTTATATCAGGCAACATTTACTACATCGGATCCAATCGATGATAGTGCCACACATTTACTTTCTTTTTATGGCACATTTAAGGATGGACACTCAATAGGGTGATGAAAAAAATCAAGTCTAGCAAAGTCAATATATTAAAAACAGTGAAGACTATTATATAGCATTATAGTGCACAAGCTCAAATATTTAGTGATGCATTTCTCGAACTTATTTTATTTATAAGTTAACCTTGAAACATGAATTTTAGTATATCATGAGCATATTTTTTTCTAATTTTGCAATACTTATAATATCATACCAGGATTCATGTGGAAGTCTAATATTTGGTATATAATATTCTTACAATAAATGTATTAATTCAATTATATTCAAAATGATGGGTCGCAATTTTTACTGAAATTGCAAATTTAATTTCAACAATGAAATTATTGTTTAAAAAAAATAGCACAATAGCAAGATGGACAATCATATATAGAATTATAATGCTCCATATAATGCTTTGATTTGATGCGTATATAATGTTATTTTTCGAACATCTTTGTAAAAAATTGATTTTTGTAATTTTTGAAAAAATTCGATTTTATTTCGAGATTTCCTCTATAGGTGAAGTATATTGAACAATATTCCTATGGGAGAAAATAATTGTAAGTATGAGTACTTTCATTAATACTATGGGTGCCATGGTTATCGCTCAAACGATCAAGTTATATCTCGATTGCGTAAATTGAAATTTTGCTATTTTCTAAATTCACGGCAACAACATTCTTTTATCCTGATCGTACATCACAATATTTGAATGCTGCGACCATTTGTTCAAGAAACCGTCAAGTTATTCTTCATTTTTCATGCCGCGGCGAACAAAAGCAGTTGCAAAGCGTATAAAGAACTTAGTTCAAAGCGCGAAAAATAGGGTAGAGCCATATGTCGTCAACACTGTTGAATTTGTGCTATCTGTATTATTGAGCGGCGCTACATTTTGCCAATCAGAATTTCAATTCATGCTGAATAACATCAAAGTTCCGTCAGAAGCTACATTTCATCGAGTCCAAGAAAAGGTTGGTCGTGTTATCATAGAAGTTGCCAGAGAATCTGTTAATTATTGGAAATCTCGAATGAGAAAATGTTCGGGACTTTTGTTTGACGGTTCTTGGAGTCAGAGAAGAAATGCAATGTTTTGCTATGTACAATTTGTAGAAGAGAAACTCAAAAAAATTGTAGATTGGGAAGTGATATCTAAATCTTTTAAAAATTTCAAAGGTAATTTCAACGGAAAATCAAATGAAATGGAATTTGAAGGCTTAAAAAGAATGCTGAAGCGTTGGAATAATGAAAAACGTGTAAATTTTTTTGTGCATGATGGCGATGTCAAAATTGTTTCTACAATCAAAAATACGTTCAAAGGTATCAGAGAATACAGAGATCCTGGACATTTTCTTAACAATATACAGAAAAAGCTCAAACTGCCAGAATTCAGAATCTTATCTAGCATTTCAAAGAATTTATTGCGTTGGCTTAGGCAACTTCTCAATGACACACATATGTCAATTAAAACAAAGAAGTTTTTATGGTTGAATTCCGCTAAACATTATGCCGGAAATCATAAATTTTGTCCAGATCCTGAAAAATGCAAGATGATTAAACCATGGAAATATGCAAAAAATAAAACTGCTATAAAAACACTTAAAAAATTCCTCGAAGATACCGTAAAAATCTTTGATATGGTAAAAAAGATTCATTCAACTCAAGTAGTTGAATCGATAAACCATATCAAAGCAATGCTTGCTAATAAAAATATTAATTGGCATGCTTCTTGGCCAATTAGGATGGCAGTCACAATATTGCATTTCAATGAAAGTATGTTTGAAACGATTGTAGCAATAAGATACAGGTTAAATTTACCAACAATGCCAGAAATGATGAACAGATATTTCAGAATGTATGATACAACAAAAGATTTAATCAAAGCATTCAAAAATTCAAAGCAAGTTCAAAAAAAGTTTGCGGCATTAAGAGCTATAAAGAGAGGTCTTCAAGCTACCGATGATCGTATTACTCTTAAATCACATAAATAATTATTAAATTTATTTCACCCTCAAAACATCATAATCTTGCACCTTCTTTGAATAAACACTTTCACCTTCTATTTTTAATTAATGTTTTTTAATTGTCCAAAATTTTTAGATTATATAAGATATAATTTTTTATAAAAGTATTATTTTCTAAAAGATAAGTATATATTCTTAATCACAAAACCTAGCATTTTATCATATCTATATATCAGCTTCCTAAATATAATACTCATATAGTTAGTATGATTTTAATGTTTTTGAACATGAAACGAAAATATGATTACAATCATATAACATAATGGAGTTATTGATATAACTTATATGCATGATACATTAAGAAGTCTTCCAACAATATAGATATAGTTGTAGATTCCTATGATTCCTTTTATATTGTGAGATAATAACATTTTTATGCTGTCAGGAGCCTATGAGTGCCCATCCTTAAATGTTTTGCACAAAATAACCTTCGTTCGATTGAGCCAACGCCTGAGAGTACTTCTTCACGTGAAGATAATTCTAGTGATACATTAATCCCATTTGCAATATTTTTGGGCTCAATGTTCTAATTTTGTTATATTATTATTTCGTTATTTTGAAGAATTTTTTTGTTTATAAATATCATGTATTTGTTTGATACTTTTTAATTATATTATCTATTTTTTAATCTTCTGCGAAACACCGTTCATGAATATATTTTTTTGAAAATTGGCTTATATTACTGAGGTCATGTAAGAAGTAATTGATATATAAATAACTTTCAATTCGTTAGTAGAATCAACAATAATAAAGGATTGAAAATAATTTCGAGATATATATCAGCTCACAGTTAAGAAAAAACGTGTGAAAATATGTGTACTGTATAATACATTTATGATTCTTCATTTAACTTCACGAAATAATTTTTTTTGTTAGATTGTAAACTCTCACATTTAATTGAATATGATTATTCAAATTATTTTCAGAGTGTTCTTTCAATTTTTTTATTTATAATAATACATATCTCTATCTCTAATGTACAACATAATTTTATAATTCAATTTCAGTTTGAATGCCTAAAAAATTTTTATGGATTAAACAATTTTTTTGGTTGAGGTATTAATATACAAATTAACTCAATTGTATTCTTTCAAACTTGAAAAATTTTTATTCTGAATTTTATTTTTTGAGGTTCAAAATAAAAAATGATCGCTATTGTTATTACTGCTCAAACATTCGGAAAACTTCGTTCAAGACATCGGACTGAAGCTCCATTAGATGTTTGAACAACATATTTTGAATCTACAAATGAAGGGGACTTCGTAAAAAAAGAAAACGTTCCAATTTCAGTAAATGAAAACAAAGAATGCTTTATCTACGATTGTACTTTTGTAAATTATCCTACAACTCATCCTATTCAAATTACATCAGTAACAGATACTAAATTTTTGGATTCAAATTGTAATTTTTTTAGCTGTAATAGTAATTCACATGGAGGTTCCATTCATTTTGAAGGAACTGGTATATCTGAAGTTATACAAAGAAGAATTTGCGCAACTGAAGGTAAAATTCTATCAAATTCTCTCAATGGTCATTTTGCATATATCAAAATAGATAAAGATGGATGTAGGAATTATATTTTAGAATCATCTTTATTTAATTTAGGTGCACAAAATTTGGGGAATTCGCTAAATTATATTTCCAATGGAAATTGCAATGTTACACATACAAACATTAGCAAAACTAAATCAAATTATGATTCTGCAATGATTTTGCTTAATACAAAAAATTCAAAATTAGAATTTATCACTGTATGGTCTGTTGAAACAGTTTCTCGATGTATGACATTTAATACTGCTCCATCTACTACCATAATTAACTCAAATTTCATAAAAATATGGCAAACAATAGCAACTCAAGCGGGATCACTTTATTTTTATATGTCTAGCTTTTCTTCAATTAATAATAGTTATTTCGAAAATTTACAACATGATATTTATCTTTTTTACACATTGAGCTCAAAAATTTCTGCTAATAAGATTTACATCGATCCAAATTTACCTTCTGTCAATTATACAAACTCACAAAGTCAATTTACTTTAACAGAACAAATTATGTCTTACACTTCAGTGAAAATTTCACACTATGGAACATATAAATGTGAAGCACAACATAATTTACTATATCCAGACCAAAAATCGCAACCATATAGCAATGTTTATACAAATACTGGAGAATTACACCTAGCAGCTTATTTATTTTGTTATATACGAAAACGATAAAAACAGTTTGACAGAAAAGTGACAACTTTACGTGTCAAAAATATAAAAAGTGATATTTTATTCATCATTATCTTCTTCATAATTTATTTCATATTCTTCGTCTTACCAACAAAAGATGGGAATGTGAACAATTGCGGGCAATTTTTAGCCATTTTGGCTTGGAACTAGAGCCTGCGAGGTACATGGATAGTATCAGTACCTCACAGGCTCTAGTTCTCTATATGGCGCCGAGAAATTTTGGTGAAATGTGGTCGCATTTCATCAAAATTTTTTCGGCGCCATAGGATGAATTGGAGGGTGAGAGATATTATTTCATACAATACTACTCTCACCCTCCAATTCCCAGCCAAAATGGCTAAAAATTGCCCGCAATGTGAACAATTGCGGGCAATTTTTAGCCATTTTGGCTTGGAACTAGAGCCTGCGAGGTACATGGATAGTATCAGTACCTCACAGGCTCTAGTTCTCTATATGGCGCCGAGAAATTTTGGTGAAATGTGGTCGCATTTCACCAAAATTTTTTCGGCGCCATAGGATGAATTGGAGGGTGAGAGATATTATTTCATACAATACTACTCTCACCCTCCAATTCCCAGCCAAAATGGCTAAAAATTGCCCGCAATGTGAACAATTGCGGGCAATTTTTAGCCATTTTGGCTTGGAACTAGAGCCTGCGAGGTACATGGATAGTATCAGTACCTCACAGGCTCTAGTTCTCTATATGGCGCCGAGAAATTTTGGTGAAATGTGGTCGCATTTCACCAAAATTTTTTCGGCGCCATAGGATGAATTGGAGGGTGAGAGATATTATTTCATACAATACTACTCTCACCCTCCAATTCCCAGCCAAAATGGCTAAAAATTGCCCGCAATGTGAACAATTGCGGGCAATTTTTAGCCATTTTGGCTTGGAACTAGAGCCTGCGAGGTACATGGATAGTATCAGTACCTCACAGGCTCTAGTTCTCTATATGGCGCCGAGAAATTTTGGTGAAATGTGGTCGCATTTCACCAAAATTTTTTCGGCGCCATAGGATGAATTGGAGGGTGAGAGATATTATTTCATACAATACTACTCTCACCCTCCAATTCCCAGCCAAAATGGCTAAAAATTGCCCGCAATGTGAACAATTGCGGGCAATTTTTAGCCATTTTGGCTTGGAACTAGAGCCTGCGAGGTACATGGATAGTATCAGTACCTCACAGGCTCTAGTTCTCTATATGGCGCCGAGAAATTTTGGTGAAATGTGGTCGCATTTCATCAAAATTTTTTCGGCGCCATAGGATGAATTGGAGGGTGAGAGATATTATTTCATACAATACTACTCTCACCCTCAATTTTAATTACTTAAACTCATTCTATTTTTTTGACATGTAAATGTCACTTTTACTGAGATCTGACACAATGTCAGATCTCTTTTTTTCGTATATAAGAATTTTACGCAACAAATTAAATCTGATTTATCTATTACCAAAAATCTATCCGTATGCCTATTGTACCTTAAATTTATCTTTTCATGAAAAAATCCATTAAAAAAGTGAAATTTTGATGGTATTCTATGCATTGTATCCATGCAATTCGATTTATTTCGAACTTTTATATATCTTGTTTGTATCTTTTATAAAATTTACCATGTTATTTCTGATAATTTTTTAGGTGAATTAAATGATCTGCACCATACATTAATATTCGATAGAGAGTGAGAGATTGAACAGATCCTTAATGCTGAATGCTAAAAAAAAGAATAGAATGTTCTCAATTTGTGTAAAGAAATTTTAAATTGTCACTTTTCTCTACCGGAAACAATTTTTTTTCTCAAACAATGAGTAAACCAAAGATCAACAGGAAGGAACTTATTGACTCGAATTTTCAAACAATGATTACTCTTGCTGATCAAACGGTTGTTCACAAGAAGAAATTCGAGTTTACTTTAACAATAATTCGTAGATTTATGACTGTATTTCAAGCAGATAGTAAAGAAAGCTCATCAACAGATACAGATGAATGCGCAGATGAAGTTATTCAGTTTTTTTTCCGAAATCATTAAAATTTTAAATCAAAATTTAATTCAAACATGGACATTTTCAACCATAAACAACCCTCCTCAGTTTATATTAGAGCAATTACAAAATAACATCCAAGAGTTTTCCGAAAAAATAAGGAAATACGGTGATGATTTGTATAATTCTCTAAATGTAGATGCTTCTGAATGGGAGCAATACAATATATTAGACTTACGAGCAATTTCAGCCTCATTCTCCCAGTATTTACGCACATCAAAAATAAATGATCAGCTTAGAAAGAAAATTCTTACATTATTGAACACGATAAACGAATATTTACAGAACAAACAAGATGGAAAAGTCATTTCCATAGCAATTTCTCCAATTCATGTTCATTATCAGTCATGGATCGTTGATTACGATGATTTTGAACAAGGAAAAGAGATAGGACACGGAACATCGGCCAAAGTATACAAAGGAACCTACAAAAAGACTCATGAAGACGTTGCAATCAAAAAATTCCAATTTCCAAACTTAAATTCCGCCCATTTCCAATCGTATCAACGCGAAGTAGCTGTTCTAGCAACAGCGCAACACCCTACTCTACTCAAATTGATCGGAACAACCGATAAACCGCCATTTTGTATAATCACTGAATGGATGAGCGGAGGATCATTGTTCCACGCGATACATCGACCGGGATACTATGATATGACGCAGAGGACAATCGCTGCAATCGATATCGCATGAGGAATGAGGTACTTGCACTCTAGAAAAATCGCTCACAGAGATTTGAAAACTTTGAATGTTTTACTTGACGATAGAAAATACGTTAAAATTTGTGATTTCGGATTTTCGAGATTTGCTGAAAGTGATACCGCATTAACAACTACAGTAGGAACAAAAAAAGGTAGTGGGGCTTCCAGGCGCGTTGCGCCCTCTAGCCCTGAAGATGTTTAGTATAAATGAAGTTTATATTCGGAGGGCTTCCAGGCGCGTTGCGCCCTCTAGCCCTGAAGATGTTTAGTATAAATGAAGTTTATATTCGGAGGGCTTCCAGGCGCGTTGCGCCCTCTAGCCCCGAAGATGTTTAGTATAAATGAAGTTTTTATTCGGAGGGCTTCCAGGCGCGTTGCGCCCTCTAGCCCCGAAGATGTTTAGTATAAATGAAGTTTATATTCGGAGGGCTTCCAGGCGCGTTGCGCCCTCTAGCCCATAAGAAATTTTTCCCAAGACCCAAGAGGAGGACCGAACCCCAGCCGACCAGCCGTTGACTTTTTTGTACAGCACTCAAAATAGTATAACTTTGTCCGGACAAGTAAGGGTCTATCGTCGCTACAGGAAAAGTTACAGGCGTTCCAAGGAAGTATACTTTGAGAAGCCTTTTCCCCCTTATAGAATGAGATAGGACGGTTATTTTACAAAACTGACAACACTTTGACCGAGTAGTTTTTTGTGCTGAACAAAAAGTGTCATATAAACATCTGTCAAAAACTGCTTTTTAACTTCACTTAAAATGCCACGTAAGCTACGTAAGAATATACGTAAGAAGAAGGGAGCATTGAAACATCCAATAGTAAAACTGACACCACAACAACAGTTGCAACAACAAATGATGAATGACCCCACTATGTTGCAACAAATGTCAAGCAACCCTATGCTTTTAAACCGAGTTATTGGTGCACAGAGTGGAGGTTTAAGAGCGGCACTTTTAGCGAAAATGGCAGGCTATGGTAGAGCTGCAGACGGAACAGCTTATAACCCTCAAAGTCAAATGAATTTGAGTTCACTCAAAAATCAAATAACAGATGTCAAAAAGTCAAACATAGACATACAGAAACAAATAAGTGAAAACGAAAAGAAACTAGAATATGACAGACACACAAAGAAACTCAATGAGTTAAACGTAGAGAAAAGAAGAAAGAAGAACAACTGAAAGAACTAAGTACAGAGGAATATGCGAAAAAAGTGTCAGAAAAAGCAGCAGAAGTAGCAAAAATGGAACAAGATGTTATAAATTTGAAAAACCATACTACTCAATATAAAGTACTGAAAGATGAAGAAATAAAACAAAAAGCCATGAAGACATATATGGATAGCGATGAGTATAAAAAAGAAGTTGAAGCAAATGTAAAGGCAGAAAAACTTTTACAGTTGCAAAACCAAACCGTACAGTATGAAAACTTAGCACAAGAAAGTAAAAATAACGACGCAGCCATGCAAAAGGCAATGAAAAGCGCAGAATATATAAAAGCTAATAATGACTGGTTAGATGCCCAAGCCAACGCTAAAGCAGCCCAACTTATAGGGTCAATAAGGACAAAAATACAAGCGGATGAAACAGTTCAAATGAAGCTTTAATGAATGCTGACTTTAAGAATGCCTTCGAAGCTCTTCATAGTAAGGTGAAACTAGTGAACGACTTCTCATCTGGAAAGAAACTGAAGTCTGAAGGTTTCGACAAAGAGTTAAGAGAAGTAGCACAAAATATGACGAAAATAACAGATGCAGCAACGAGACAGGCAGTTCAAAGTGCCTATGACGCCGTTAGAGCAACTGTTGTGGAAAGTCAAGAAAAAGAGTTACAACAGACCAAAACAGACCTAGTAAATGCTTTCTTAAAAACGAAAAGTCAGGTAGGACATTATGCTGCAGATGGAACATATGTGCCAGCTGGTGGAACTTATATACCACCAAACCCTCCAAGAGAAGCACCTGCACCAGGACTACCTAAAACATTTACATCGTCACATGGACACAGACACAGGCATGCACCACAACAACAACCAACAGTTCAAAATCCAGCACCACCACAACAACCAAAACCAACAGTTCAAAATCCAGCACAGCAACCAACAGTTCAAAATCCAGCACAACAACCAACAGTTCAAAATCCAGCACCACAACAACAACCAACACAGCAACCACCTCCACAACCAGCACAACAACCACATCCACAACCAGCACAACAACCACCTCCACAACCAGCACAACAACCACAAACAGAGCAAGGACATAAAAGAAGTAGAGAAAAAGGAAACCAAGAATTCTTAAAAATGCTTAAGGAAGATTATGGTTACCCAGATACTCTTGACTTTAGTGACAGATATAAAGAAGCTATTAGAAAGTTCAAGGAAGGAAATACTGACCCGAACCTATTTAGCTTTATGGTTCAGCATCAAATGGGATATAATCTCAAACCTGGAAAATACAAGCTCGCTAAGGGATATGATTTAATAGCATATCATCCAAATGACATGAATGAATTTACTCCGAGATATTTGGTGTCAGAGCTAAATGACAATTCAACTCTCTTCATGAAACGCGTAAAAAATAGAGACGGAACGAAAGAAGAAAGGTTTATGAGTCCGGATGACTTAGATAGGGAACTTGTTAAAAACGGTCTCGGAATATATGAAATGCCAGCAGATGAGGTACAAGAAACTCAACAGGAAGAAGTTCAGATACAACCAGACATGGAAGAAATAGTTCAGCAACAACAGCTAGAAGAGCCTGAAGGAAACGAACAAATCCCTCCTTTGGAAACTAACTTCACAGAACTAGATGAAGATTTGGAACAGCCGAAAAATCTTGACCCTCAACAAGTGTATGCGGAGAATATGGAATCTTTCCAAGAGTCTAAGAAAAATTCGGCTGACATAGTAGAAGAATATCGAAAAATGTTCACCGACATACAAAAGACTCCAACATCAGATGAAAATATTCAGCATAGAATGGAAGTACTGAAAGAAAATGTACGCAAATACAATAATCCTTTTTACTTACGACCATATAACGTTCAATCTTTGGCTGAACTCGGTGAAAATAAAAGGTTAAATTTCAACAAAACATATAGAAATGAAACATTGTTTAAAGTTCATTCAGAACCTAACCAATATGGAAACAAACCTACTTTTGTTTCTGCAGACTATGGAACTACAATGAGATGGGGTCATAAAGCTAATCCGGATAGGTGGTTCATAAACTTACAACCTCAATTCCAAGAAGTTGTAGACGCAATGGAAGTGAATGGTGAACCAGATATAACGGGTATTTTCAGCGCGGCTTTAATGCCATTGAAAGATATGAAAGATGCAGATATTTTGGACCAGTATGAAATGAACATGGCTGAAGGAAATATAACACCTGACGTTCTAGAACATTTATCTCAAAGAACTACACAGAACCATAGAGATGGTATATTTGGTGAAGAGTTTAGAAAGAAAGTTAGGGAGAGAGAAGGAAGAGAACTTATTGTACATGACCTTGCAAACGAAAGTTTGCAAAATGTCATAAAAACTTACTTTGCAGACAATGAACTGAGAAGGGATGAATATTTAAGAAAACTCAAATGGACAGTACCAAATGAAATGTTAGTATTGAAAAACATGTTCCTTGACAAAATAAAACCAACTACAGAAATAAATGACGCAAGACTGAAACATTGGGTAAAAGCTTTCCCATTCACAAAAGATATTATTGGTTACATGGAAAGAAAACCAGAATGGCTACAAAAACATATATTTGGAAACGAGTTTATTCCATATGGACAAGCTCTGTTTGAAGAGCTTGAACCGGAAACTCAGGAAAGAGTCATGCAAACAATACGCGAAGACTCAAATACAAACTATGACAAAATCTTTCTAGGATATAGGTTACCTGAGATGGGCGACCAGAGCCCAAAGGCAAAAAGGACATGGGAAATTTACAACATACTAGGTGAACATGAGGCAAAGATGCAACAACTTGAAGCAGAGGGCAAGTTACCAAAAGCGACACCAAAGAAGAAGAGAAGAGTAGAACAAAGTGAAAGTAGTGAAGAAGTAACTTCATCTAGTGAAAGTAGTGGCAATGAAGGAAAAGAAGAGTTAAAAACTCAGTCAGGAAGAAAGTAAAGCTTGGTCCGAGTGGGTTCTATTATGATATATAAATCCAACTATTCTATATTTTACCCATATGAAATGTACGCCGCTCAGAATATAACGCCAACAGTTTTGGATGCCATGAACGGAAATGTTTCCGAATGGTATAACGAATGCGACAATGCCATTAGAAGGTCAGAAATAGTTCCTGGAACTTACGAATATACAACTGCTGTTTCTTATGGAAACGTAGGTGAGTTTGGAGAAGGTTCTTCAACAACAGTAGATATTGCTTGCGACAGGTTTCATATTATTTCTATTGACAACTCATTCTTATACGTGGAACAAGACATTGAAATAAAACCTTCTGCCAAGTTGTCTGACAAGAAAGGTTGCAATGGAATTTTCTATGTCGGATACCAATATGCTCCAGAAGTTTTCATGGGATATAAGATATATTCTAACTCTGACTTAGTTCAAACAGTAACATGGGCAAACTATGAATGGTTCGCTTTGAGAAACTCAGTACAACCACAAGCTAGAGAACAAACAGACCAGTATGCAACTATTGAGAAAATAAGAAGACTTGACCCTAACGTTCCAGGAGTTTATGTTAACCTTTCTGGACAAACTGCAGCAGCAGTAACCAAAGTAAAACTGAAACTTAGAGTTCCTTTGTCATCTTTCCTCATCTTCAGGTTTTTAAGATACTTACCAAACTGGGCAGGAAAAATTTCTATTGAACTTACTCCAAGCAAAAATAACTTAGTCATTGCACCAACACAAGACCCATTCAGCATTACTGTAGCTGGAACTGGTGGAGCCAAGTTCTGTGACTTTTGCAAAGACAAAATTGACTTAGACTTTGGTTTCTCAAACCTCAACACTGAAGTAAACTATTATTTCAATGCTGCTGGAGATGCTTGGGACCCAGTTAAGTTCACATGCGAACAGTTTGAATGCAAGAGAATAGAAAGCAGACTTGCAGTCTATATGTTGGACCCAGATATTTCAAATGCTTTAGCTGCCAAATATATTGCAGTTCCACTTATGTTCCCTATACACCAAATATCTGTCAAAGACTTTGCAGGTGAAGTTGGAAACCAAAATCCAGGAGCCGCAGGTGCAAGAACAGATATTGCTTTAACAACTGCAATGAAACATGCAGATACTATGTTTGTACTGTTCAGACGAACTATAAATGACTATTCTTGTTTCTACAACCCTGGTATTAAATATCATATAAACATAGATGGCAAATATTATCCAAGAGAAGAATATTCTACAGTTGAGGATATGAGGTCATACAACTTGACATTAGCTGCTATGAACTTTAACAACAATTTCACAACAACCATTAACCCTGAAATGCAAAGTTCTATTATGCCATATGTGAAAGTATGGACTCATACAGGAGGTCAAAAAACTCAATATACAAATGGAGACCGTTCAAACTTTTGGCTTGGCATTCCATTTGCTGACTCAGAAGACTTTATGGGTGGTATTTCAACTGTTGGTACAGTTCAAATACAATATACTGGTGACAGAGACGGTCCAGATGAATTGAAAGCAAAGAAGTTTACAAAACCAATAGCACTTTTCACGGAAGATGCTCTTTTGAAGATTCGTTCGATGAAACCTGCTGGGGCTCCTCAGATTGGCATAACGACAGCTTCCATCGAGCAGATTTTGGCAGCAGGTCAGTAAGTTGTTCTTGAACTGACTTCTCTCCGTCAAATATTGACAGTACGCCAATTTTGACATAATATTGTATTATAAACTTTCCTTTAGTAATATCTGTAAGTTTTGAAGTTATATTTTTGTCTGCTTCAAGAACTTTCACCATTTCAGTTATACCAACTTTCTTTGCTTTATGAAAATATTTAGGTTCAGCAAAGACTGCTATTCTATAACATTTTCCATTGTTTGTGTAAAGAACTATTCTGTCAATGTATTTGTATTGTTTGTGAGTATAAACCTTGTTTTGCTTCAATTCGAAGAGATATCCGAATACGTCCATCTTTTTATTCTAAGTAAAATGTCATTTCCGAAAAATAGAAGCGTAAGTGTTTCAAAAGGTTTAATGGCGGTGGCAGATGTGAAGTTAAATTCACCAACTCAAACAAACAGTCAAAGTGTTGTTGTCAATGTCAAAGACAGAGATGTTGAAGTGGGGAAACCATACGAAGACGAAGATGGTATAACAATTGTTCCTGTAAAAGAACCAACATATCCTGAAGTTAACAGAGACTTAAGTTCTGTTGCAGATATTCGAAACGACTACCAACAACTGAAAGACAAACTTCAAACTCAGGAGAAGATTTGTCAAGCTTTAAGTATAATGTTAAACTTGGTCGAACACAACCCTGTAAAAGTGAACTCATATGTCATTGCACCTCATGAAGTTTTGAAAGAACTATTGAAACTTTTGACAGAGGCAGACGATATAAACATCAAAGAAATAGAACCCGACATTAGTTGCTGTGGTGTTTCATATAATGCCATTGACAAGATATACGTTATGAAAGGAGGTGAAACGTTGAACTTAAAATATAGTTTCCCAGACGTTATAAAAATATTTGACGACCACAACATTTCATTAAAGTTTATTTGCTAAGTAAATGGCAGAAGACATAATGGTTTATACTATTACGACTAAAAACCCTGAGTCATATAATTCTATAACAACAAACTTACAAAGTCCTCAAGGACGATATTGTAAACTAACCTTAAACACAATGACGACTAAAGCCTGTTTTGCTCTTTTGACACCAGAAGACTTTATTGTTGTGAATGGTAAAAAATACTCCTTTGAAGATACTTACTCAGATATCCCACCAACAGGTTTTGTTGACTTATTTAATACTTTAAGTACGGGTGTAACATGTGCTGCAACTAGAGCAGGTTTCATTATGTTTGGATGTCCGACTGAGTTTACTATAAACGATATGAGATATAATACAAAACTTATTTCTGGTTTTTACTACCAACAGTTTCCTATAACAGGAAAAGGTGTCATACAAGGAATGTCTATTCCATTGACATTAAGCACACCAATCTTATATATTGTTTCAAACTTAGGTTCAAAGTGTTATTCGAATGTCGACAGAAACTATTATGACCAAAAGATACTTATGCGTATAAACAATACTTTCTCTGCTGGTTTGCCTATTGTTCATTCGAATGCAGAATTTTCAACCTTAGTGAACTCAAACACTTTGGCAAGTATAACGTTGACATTAGTTGACGCAAACTTTGTTCCTGTAAAACTTTTATGTCCTATGTATTTGTCAATGACGGCAGAAAGTTTCGAATTGGAAGATGCAACTGGTGAAAGTATTGTATTACAAGAACAACTTCAACAACAAATAGCTCAAGAACAACAAATGCAACAACAAAGTCAAGAATAAAAAAATAATATTTTTTTTATTTTTATAAAAATGTACAGAATAGATGTTTCAGATTTTTATGACTTCCAAGCATTCAGAAATATGTGTCCATTTAGAGACTATAACAAAGCAGTCGAGAATTTGAAACGTTTAGTCATTTATGTTGACTCTGCCCCAGAATGTTATGTCATGAAAGAATGGGATGTTGTCTTTAACAAACCAAGAGCAACAATAGTGTCTGAACAAGAATGTAGACAGAAACTTAAGAAAATAAAAGTCGTACAAGTTGGAATGAAGATGTTAGATGCTTGGGATATCTTATTGTCAAAGTTAGAAGATTTTTCAGTTCGAGGTATAAAGTTCTATACACCTTCTCCAAACTTCTATTCTATCTTCACTGGATATAAATACGAACAAGTAGAATGGAAAGAAAATATTATAGAAGCTTGGTTAGACCATGTCAAAGAAATTATATGCAATGGAAACGAAAAGGTTTATGAGTATATCTTATGTTGGTTTGCAAACATCTTACAACATCCAAGTGCTAAAAATGAAACTGCTCTCATTATAATTGGAAAACAAGGAACTGGTAAAAATACTTTCTTTACAGATATTTTGTGCAAACTGTTAGAAGGTTATTCGAACCCTAATATGACAAACTTAGAAAACATCTGTGGCAAGTTTAACTCCTCAATAGAGAATATGAAACTTATAGTTTGCAATGAACTTCAAAGTATAGATACAACAAAAGTTTTGAACTCAGATGCTTTGAAGAGTCTTATAACAGACAAAGTTGGAGTTGTTGAAAGAAAGTATAAAGACCAAAGAGTTTGTGAAAATGTTGCAAACTTCATTATGGTTTCAAACAATGCTGTTCCGATGAAGTTAGAAAGTTCTGACAGAAGATATGTAGTTGTCAGAACGTCAGATTCTCATATGCAAGATACAGAATATTTTGACGACTTAGCAGAAACTTTGACATCTGACTTTTACAACCACTTGTTCTCATATTTCATGACATTAGATATTTCTAAGTTCAATCCAAGACAAATTCCACATACCGAAGAGAGACAAACATTGTTAGAAGCAAACAAAAGTGTTTATGAACTGTTCATAGATGAAACTGACTTTGTGTCATTAGATGAAAGGTCATTGTACGATTCGTATAAACAATATTGTCAAGAATATGGTTATATGGCAGCTTCTAAACGTACATTCTTGGCAAATGTCAAAAGTCTTTTAGATGTTCAGAATGGTGTATATACAAAGAAAATTTTTTCTGAGTAAATTTTAAAAAAAAATATTTTTTTATCCGATAGAAAAGATGACGAAATTCATCTCAGTAAACAAGTACATGACAGAAGTCAAAGATAAGTTAGCTCTATTCGCATATTTGAATGTTTACTTCTACAATTTTGAAAAGTCTACATTTGACAAAATTTGGAACATTGCATCAGTTAAGTTTGCTGTTGTTAGAAAAAGTGGTGCAACTTTTGAAGACTTATACATTGACGGTATGTTGACAGTCAAAGAAATTTTGACAGAAAGTTCTCAAACTCGAAGAAGGCAAAGCATACAAACTTGTTATACCTTATGAACCAAAGAAAGCAGACGACTATGAATATTATGAGTCTAAGATAGTTGAAGTTCAAGGTAAATTGGGTAAAAGATTTTAGAGTCTAAGCCAGTGTTTGCTCCTAAAGAGGAAGAGAACATTGACATTGACCAGAAATGTTCTAAAATAAAATTTTATTTTTACATGTCATATCTCCCTTCTCTGGAATTGGCTCTGGTTCTTTCTTCTCTTCTTCTACTTTCTTTCTTTCTTTTCTCTCTTCTTCTTTTCTGGTGGAGTTATGTCAAATTTGGCGCAACTATATTTATGTAAAAGTTCTTTGTCCTTTAATAGCTCATCTATTCTGTTTTCTATTTCATCTTCAAGAACAGCGCATGTGTCTTCTTTGCATTCTAAGAACTTTTGTTGGACTTCATCTTTCCAATCGGCGTCATCTCTGTCAACAAGTCTGTCATTGACAAATTTAAGACTGCTCTTTGTAATGTTTTATGGTTCTTGTCATATTCCCAGAAACAGAACTTTAGAACAAATTCACCTTTCTTGTTTACACTATGTAAGATTTTATGGTCGACAGATGTTTTGCTGTCGAAAAGTTTGTCTCGAATATTGATAGCGAAATCGCTAGACATTTTCTAAAAGATAAAAATTTTAATTTTTCTAAAAAATATGTTAGAAAAAAAGTTTGCTGACATTGACAAAGAAATTTGAGAATGTTTTAAATAAGAACAAGAGGAAGTTAGAAAATGCTCAGATAAAGCCTATACATGACAAGTTCTTATTTGGCTCAGAATGGTATAACAGGTCTAATTGCACCACCTGGGTCGGGTAAGACTTTCACTTATCTTAAAATGGCTGCACAACAACAAGAACTAGATGAGAAGAACCATTCTATGAGTTAGTTGTTATTTGTTCGACTTCTGGTCAATTTGACCAAACCGTCAATTCGTTCAAAGATATTATAAAGAAGTCTAAGTTAGTATGTATAAAGGATACTGAGTTGTTAGATTGGATAAAGAAGTACCAAAGAAGGGTTTTGAAGTATAATGCTATAAATGAGTATATAAATTCTAAGTTCAAAGACCCTAATGAGGAAATGCAGAGAATATTAGAGAAGAAACACTTCAGAAACAAACAGAAAGAGATAGAATACATTTCGAAGAAATTGCAATCTTACGATTGAAGACTTACCCTCATAGATGTCTTCTTATCTTAGATGACTTTGCTTCTCATCCTTTGTTAAAGAACAGAGAACAAGACATGTGTCGAATTCTTAAGAAGCTCAGACACTTTAACATCTCAGTTGTCATTTGTGTACAGACAGCAAAGAGTTTAAGTAAGGATGTTTAAAAGAATACTTACTGACATAATACTTTTCCCCGGATTGTCCGAAGACGATTTCATGGAACTTATGAAAGAGTCCATGGCAGGTAAGTTTGACAGACATGAACTATGGGAGAAGTACAAAGTCATACAAGACCCTCATACTTCTTTCAGAATTCATATCTACGCAAACAAAGTTCAAATTGTAAAAGTCAATAAAAATAAATGGTTCATCTACCCTACTTGTTTGAAGTTGTCAAAATACTCTGTTATTTTTTCTTTCAGTAGCGGTAAGTCTTCTTTGAAGGTAAAAATTGTACAACCTTTCATATCATAGTGTGTTTGAGGTAACGTATCTTGAACTATTTGTTTCACATTTTCATTTGGGGTCATTGAAATCGGTAAGTTTTCGCGATAGAACCAATTTCTGTCAGATTTGTAAATCTTAGCAAGGTCGTAAAAGCTCTTGTTGTTTCTTCTGACTAAATGCAACATAACCATATCTTTATCTTCTTCATTTTCCATCTCATCAGTATAAATCATATACTTATAGTTCTTTTCCTTTCCTTTTGGTACCGAACGTTGTATTCTTTTCTGAATGCTTTTGTCTTTTGCTTCAAGCTTGTTTTCCATCTCTTCACGTTCTTGTCTATGAATTTCGTCAAGAAGTCTGTAAATATACCAAGCATAACGAGGCGAAGCCCACATTGCAACAGCATTTACAAGAAGTCTATGTACATAATATCCTCTCAAACCGTTTGGCAATTTTTCACGATTTTCATAGAGTTTTGGCGACTGGGGTTTTTTCTCCCACTCGAGTTTTTGCGACTACGAGAATCCCGTAGTCGTAGTCGAATTTTCAGCTTCATTTAATAGTTCAATAGTGCTTTGGTTCCTAAACCAGTCTTGTGGTTTCTTATTGTCGGGTGCAAAACATGCTGTCAAAATACTTTGGCATTTGGTAATATCGTTTTTGACCGAACGAATGAGACGGAGTTGTTTGTTAAACTGTATGTACTCGTATTCTTCATTTATAGCTTCATGGACTATAACTGTTGTTGTGTTCTCTGTTGTTGACATTACTGTCTTTACATACAAAATAAAAAAATAAATAAAAATAAAACTAACTTTATTTTTTCTATCTTAAGGAAATTCATGATTTTTGTGCTGAATTCAATAAAAATATATTTTCGGTGAAGAGGTGAGATTTCACCTGTTTTTTCACCTCATTTCTACCCCAGTTATTTTATAAACGTTTCACATGGTAAACGTTATTTTTAAATTTTGTGAAAACTCAACGGTTTGACACATGCCATATGCCATTTTACTCAGAATTTTGTTGCTGAATTCAGCAAAAATATATTTTAGGGTAGAAGGTTAGATCTAACCCGATATCTACCCTCATTTCTACCCCAGTTATTTTATAAACGTTTCACATGGTAAACGTTATGAATTCGTGAGACTCTAAACAATTTCGTAGCTTCTATTTCTTCTTTTAGTACATCGAATGTTTTAACGATACCGAAAGTTTCTTTATACTTCTTCTTGACATCAGATAGAAGGAAATCGTCAGCAGTTGGATAGTTTTTGTTCAGAAATGCTAACATGTCCATTTTATCTTCTACCGGCTTCTCTGCTTCTTTCTTTAAGTCTGCATAGTCGTTTCTCATACGTTCTATCTCTTTGACGGAGTAGTTATATTTCCTCATTGCTGCTTTACATTTAGAACATTGCGGGTTCATTTTTGCGTTATATTCTGAAACCTTACCTGCTAAAACAACCAAGGCGTCAATGGTTTTCTTTAAATCTGAAGCAGTTGGTTTTATCTGTTCATGCCATACCTTACCTCTTCTATCTTTATCTCTTATCTGCCATACACATTTTGCAGCTAATGAAACAAAGTTGTCGTATGTCTTAAACTCCCCAGATTTATATATGTCAGAGATGTTCTTATATAACATGTCGCAATCTTTGTCCATAACTTTATGGTTGCAATGAAAACCAAGGAATTCATAATTTACCTTTCGTATGAACTTCTTTATTTCTACTGAGTCAGTTGCTTTGACTTCAATTTCGTCGAATTCAGGAATAGTTAGTTTTTGCTGCTGAATTTCAGGTAGTTTAGGCAAATGGTCGATGAGGTCCTCCATTTCATAAAGATACTGTTCATTTGTTTCATCTTTCGCACTACAGTCTAAATTACTTGTTAAAAGTTCCTGCTTTATTCTTTGTATTTCTGTTTCGAAAGTATATGAAGAAGGAATGAAGCTTTTCATTTCTACTAACATAGATGTTGGATTCATGACTAACGAGTTTGGTGCTGTAGTTGTTTGAATTGTTGTTGTGCCGATTGTTGACATTTCTGTTCTTTTATACAAAATAAAAAAATAAATGAAAATAAAACTAACTTTATTTTTTCTATCTTAAGGAAATTCATGAAAATTCAAGAGGGTAGAAATCGGGTTAGAAATGAGGTTAGATCTAACCATCTACCCTAAACATTATTTTTGCTGAATTCAGCAACAAAATGAACGAGGTCAGGATGTATGTAAATACATTTGAATTCATTCATAACACCCTTTGTAAGCTCATAAAATGCTTGTTTTGAGGTCGAGCCACTTTTGGCTCCACCGTATTCTTTCAACCAAAACTCAAGAATTTCCTGCATGAATTTTGTATAAAAAGCAACAGTCCGAATTCCGGCGGTTTGCTATATTCTTCACAAAATGCCTTATAATATACTCTTCCCAGGACTTATTTTCCAACAACTTTCTAAAGTCTTTCCTAAACTGACTGACTGACTGACGGCACAAAGTGGCTTAACGAAAACATTAATATATAAAATTCATGAAAATTCAAGAGGGTGAAAAAACAGGTGAAAAAACAGGTGAAATCTCACCTCTTCACCTAAATTATATTTTTTGGTCCGGGAACAACTTTCTCTCAATTGGAGCTGTAGCATACTCTTTGCGTAAGCGGTTCAGACCTTCTTCGAAGTCTTGGTCTCTCTTGGACTGAGATTGGAATTGCTGGGGTGGAGCTTGCTGGAACAACCAAGGGTTGGGGAAGTAAGGCATAGGCTGAGGAGGGTAGTTCGGGAAGCCTTGTGGTGGGTAGTAACCTTGAGGTGGAAATTGGTAGTAATTCGGAGGTACTTGCTGGAACTGAGGTGCAGGGGCTGGTGCTTTAGGTTCTTCTGGCTTTGGAAGGCATTCAGGAAGAGGAACGTCAGTCATCCGTTTGTGTCCTGTCGGAAGGAAGAACTTTTCCTGTCGGATGGAAGAACTTTTCCTGTCGGAAGGAAAAACTTTTCCTGTCGGAAGGAAAATTTTTTCTAAAGTTCGACCAAAAAGTTCTCAATTTTCGAAAATTTGAATGGTTTACGGACGGACAACTGGAAGAGTTCTTCCTGTCGGAAGGAAAAATTTTTCCCTTTGTCCAGAAAATTTTTTCCTGTCGGATGGAAGAACTTGGAATGCAAGAAAGACTTGACGAGGCAATTTACCTAATTGAAATTAACGAGCTTGTTAAAGACTTCCTCAGGCAGAATGTAAAAGACAAGCTTGTTAACGGTTGGATAACGGGAAGGTCTACACTTCAGCTCGAGACTTCGACTGGAATTCCAATTCAAATACCAGACGGGACAGCCTACGATGGCATAAAGGACGCCAAAAGAGAAGCTCTTGTTAAGTTCCTAAACAAGCGTCCTTGGATACTACTTCCAAACAGAGAGAACCCTTTCCCAAGAATGAACCAAATTCTCAAGGGTCTCCTTCACTTCTCGGGTCAACCATTCTTTATAACTACAGAAGGCGACATTCAGCCAGTTCAGTAAACATCTCATTTTAACTCACTTTTTTATGTTTTTTGTGAAAGTGTCAAAAATAAATTGTTTTCATGAGTTTTCTACGATGTTAGAAAAAATGTTATTTTCTAATATCTTCACATTCAATACTTTTTCAGCACTTTTCCGTAGTTATATATGAAAGACAATTCGAGATAAAAGTCATAGTACAATGGAATAATATGTTGCACACCATTTGTTGTGAACCAAACTTGAAAGTCAGAGAAACTGTTACTAGATGGTTCGTAGAATTTAGAAGCAAAGTCATAAAAGTCCTTACCAATACATAGAAAACTATTGTTGCTTGAACTGAAACTTGCATGACACATAACATTTTGAGGGTCAAACACGTTTCTATAAACCATCAAATCTGCTGGTGGAAGTATAAATTTAAATGGACCATCTGGTGGTAATGGTTCGTTCTGGTTTAGTAACCGAAGAAATTGTGCCCAAGAACGTTTGTCTACTTCCCAAAATAAAAACTCTGTATCTCTTGGAGGGTTAATTTCAATCTTTTGAAATGAAACGGTGGAGTTCATCTTGTCATATTCTAGTTTCAGATAGTATGTTCCATTTAGTAAAGAGTCGTATTTTTTTTGAAATTCCCAATAATATTTGTTCATTTGAGTTTGAAAGTCATTTAGAGTTTTCTCAAGACTTTCGTCTGAACGAACTGTAAAGATTCTCATTTCGTCAAATTTGTCTATTAGACCATTAGGACCTTTATACTGCCCATGAAAATATACTGCGAACATAAATGCGTTAGTTCTATTTGAAAACAAAACTCTTCTAAATCCTATTGCCTTTGCATCTGAAGGACTTTGAAGCCAACGAATTGGATAGTCAAACCTGTATGCTCGGGATGAAATTTCTTCATCTGAAATAGTCCTACCAGCATTTGTAAAGATATAGTCTAACGGTTTTGTATCTGCTACTTTTGTTCTTTGTTTTTCAACCTGAAGCATTTAATATATGTAAAAATATATTGTTTTAAAATGGTATGCCATTTCATATTTCTCATCTAACAAACAAGTTTCCCAACGGTCTTCTCCAACAAACTCAGCGTACATTTCAAATAAAATTAAAAAATGTCACTTTTTTTGAAAAACGTTTTTACTTCATGCAATGTTTTATTTCTGTGCCGTCTTCAAGTATGCCCCAATATTTCCTTTTCGATATTACATGAACTTCGGAAAATACCTTATCTAGCTTAAAACAGCCCATCTTTTCACCGACCATTCCCATTTCAATGAGTTTGTTGTATCCTTCTTCGTTCGTCATGAGTGCGTCAATGTTCTCATAGTAAACCTTCACTTTGGATTTGACTTCGGAGAAGAATTTGTTGTAGTTGTCAAGTACTGCCTTTGCGAACTGAGGGTAAGACCAATGTTCGACAATAGGTTTTAATGTGGTTACTAAGCCACTTTGACCTTGAGTGAATTCGTACTTCAAAACAAAAGGAGAAAACCTTTCAACAAAGTTGTCGACCTTCTCATAATGTTTACTCTTCATCTCTTGAGGTTTCTTAATGGAATATCCCCATGTCGAATTCATAAGCAATTTGAGTGTCATTGCAAGTTTGGGGTTTGAAGCTTTCCTAATATCATACAGTTGTTGTATGACTTTTCCAACTGTATAGTTCCTTCCCGGGAACTCACCATCTTCGTTTGGAATTCCAGTCGGAATATATTGGACAAACCTCATGTATGCAGCGTTAAGGTCGACATAGTATATCTTTTCATCTGAGTCGAACTTGTCGCAACCAATTGGTCCAGTTTGTGGAAATTCAAGTGAGTCTCTTATCTTCTGAGAACTTCTCCTGTTATCTCATAAACATCGTCGAAGCAACCTGTTTCATATAAAACCTTCTGACCTAACTCAGATGCTCTCCAATACAATTTGACGTCAATTGGATGTCTCAATGGAAGTTTATTTATAGCATCTTGAAGTTCTTGCAACCTCATTGGAAGTTCTTCTGGTTCAGGTTGGTATCCGAACATACAACTTGTGGAACTGTGTACTTCTTTTGTACTAGAACTTTGTCTGGAACAACTTTTGGTCTTGCTAACAATGAAAAGTTTGTTTCGTCTTTTGGTACAAAAGTTTCTGTCAGCTTGTCATCTGGAATTGGTTCCAACAAACCTTTCTCGAAAAGAATGTTGACAGCTCTGACAATGTTGCACTTACTTTTACCAAAGAATGGTTTGTAAGACTTTCGTTCAACATGAAGTGGTTGTGGACAATTACAATCTTCAACCATGGTAAGTCTTTGTCAACAACATAGTCGTCATATGAAGAACCTTTAGCTGTAGGTATGTTGACTCGGATATTGACATTTGCCAACGGTGCAATTTTTGCCAATTGACCTCTGAGAATGTACCTTGTCTTCACACATGACTCAAGATACTTCATCTTCTCATCTGTAACAAGACCAGAGTTCCTGAGACATGTAAGAATACAAGGTTCATTGACAATTGTTCAATTGAATTGTAAATTCCATACCTTGTCAAGTCAATGTCAGACTTATTTATGAAGGGGAAGTATCCAGCATGTTGTCTGACTGCTTGAGGGTTAGGTTGGTACCATTCGAACTTGACACTTGCAATTCCTTCAATTGCATTCAAAATGTCTGAGTCGGAGTCAACCATTTGTTGTTCTCTCTTTGTAGTCTTGAATGCGTCAAGAAGTTTTGCGGCTGTTTGTTCATTGCCATGTGCATAGTAAATGTGACCATCCAAATCTGTTATGGTCAATCTGAGATTGTGTCCTTTCTTATTTCCGTCTTGAATTGCAGCAAGTACTACCCATGAAGCCTTCTTTGTTCTTTCCTTCGTCAAAGTTTACTGTAAAGGTTCGACCAGATGTAATTTGACTTCTAACTTCACGATACTTTTCATATGCATATCTTGTTCTTTCCATGGGAGCATGTGCGTCTTCACCTTTTCCTTTTTTCCTTTCTCAAAGGATGCAATTGTTCGTCATGTTTCCAGTAGAATCTGGCAAAGCCGTCGTGTCCTTCAACTTGAGGTTCACTAACATCGAAAGGCATGTCCATAAGACGTTCTTCTTCTAACCTCTCTAGTCTGTTTGGATAATTGGCACGTGCTGTTTCCAAATCCATTTCGTAGCGAAGACCAGACAATTTGTCATAGACTTTTATGGGTCTTCCCTTCCTATATTTAAAATTCTTCGAAACTCTCCAACCATATCTTTGTAAATCTGCTTTTTATTCTAGCAGACTTTCTATCCATTCTATATGGGGGCATTTTTATAAAAATAAAAAATATTTTTTTTTCTTTACTTTACATAACTGCCTGCTGCCATAAGTCTTTGACGCCAACCCATACCAGCTAATGAAGGTTGACTTGGTTTAGTTTGGAAACTAAACTTTGGTTTTGGTTTATCTTCAGTTTTTGGTTTTTCTTCTTCTATCGTTTTTTCGTCACTTTTCGTTCCTCTGACTTTACTTCACTTGCAGGAACAGTTGTGTCGTCAACATCTTCATAAATATCATATGCCATTTGTTTTTGTTTTCCTTTCAACTTTTTGTGTTTGTTGTAAAGTTTAGAATATTTCGACTCTAAGTCAATGAGATGTTCTATAATG